CCGGGTGTTGTTTGGGTTTCTGCCGGGCTCTTCACGGACCGCGTGGCGGCTCCTTGCTGTCTTGGTTGGTTGGTTGGTTCGATTTGCCCGGGTGTTGTTTGGGTTTCTGCCGGGCTCTTCACGGACCGCGTGGCGGTTCTTTTGCTGTCTTGGTTGGTTGGTTCGGTTTTTCCTGGTGTTGTTTGGGCTCCTGCCTGCCGGGCTCTTCGCGAACCGTGTGGCGGCTCTTTGCTCTCTTGGTCGGTTGGTTCGGTTTGTCCGGGTGTTGTTTGGGTTTCTGCCGGGCTCTTCGCGGACCACGTGGTGGCTCTTTGTTGTCTTCGTTGGTTGGTTTGGTTTTTCCCGGGTGTTGCTTGGGTTTCTGCCGGGCTTTTCACGGACCGCGCGGCGGCTCTTTGCTGTCTTGGTTGGTTGGTTGGTTTGGTTTGGTTTGGTTTGTCGGGGTGTTGTTCGGGTTTCTGCCGGGCTTTTCACGGGCCGCGAGGCGGCTCTTTGCTGTCTTCGTTGGTTGCTTCGCTCCTTCGGTTTTGTTCGTTTTCGGGCTTCGTTTGTGTCTATCGCTTCCATTTTGCCCGCAGCCAAGCGAGATAGACATAGAAGGCTCGCAGACTGAGCGTCACCTCGTGGCGCGATCGGGTAGTCAGTCAAGATCGGGTAGGGGCGTCGATTGATTGCGGTATCCAGCCCCGGCGGCGGGAGAGGATATGTGTAGGCTGACCTCCCAATGCCCATATCACGTCTGCCGTACGTAAATTTTGACTTGTCTGTCATTTTTCATCTCGCAGTCGCAATGTGGCGACATTCGTTCCAACGTCCCTTACTAGTGGACAGAGAGAGGTATGTAAAGATCTTCGCGCCTAAGCCTGTCTACTCCCACAGGTCCTCACCGTCGTGTGAAATGTTTGAGAGTTAGGTGTCATCGGTGATATTTCAATCTTCCTCTCCATCAGTCTGTCATGCCAGGAGAAGTCGTTTCTGTGTCGTCGAAGAGTTTTCGTTTGTACGTCATAGAGGGTTGCCTGAATCTCTTCGGCATATGACTGTGAGAGTGATCGTAAATCGTTTCAATTGTATTGTCGGTTTCGCAAGTACTATTTTCCCATTCACTAGCGGCATTTGCAAATTCAAATAAGTAGATTTTTTTGAGGTCACTCGGTCGTACAGCAATATTAAAATGTTGAAAGTCATCTTCTCGCTGTTCGTGGCAGGAGTCACGGCTGTTCCGTTTTCCCTGCCGCAAGAGCTCGTCATGGACCTCAACAAGCCTGCTCAGAATACGATCAACATCATTGCAGAAGCAGCATCTTTTCTGAGGTCACCGATTGAGGCGAGCGTGAAAGCCGTGCATGCTCAGGAATCCGATGCTATGATCAAAGATACTGTTTCGCGCGCGTGGAAAGCCGCTGCGGTTGCCGAAGGACTACCGGCAGATGAGTTTGCGTGCTTTCGTGACTATTCAGGAGCCCCTGCCGGTTGTGGCGATTTCAGTGGAATGACGCCAGCTGAGAAAGCCACTGCAGCCGCCGCGTGTGGAGCTAAGTTTCCGTGCGCCTAGAGAAGGGCTTCGGCAGCCGAGATTTCCTAAAATAATGTTGTATCTTTTCATCAGCTCCGCGAGTAAAGGGCACTGATAATTGACTTTGATTTGTGTGTGAGGTATACCGTGTTCGATCGATCTCTCGACAGAGGAAAGTGAGCATAGTAGAGTTAGTTTGGCATTGACACTCCATCGCAGAATACCATCTCGAGATTTGAACTTTTTCTCGTGTCGCGACATCATGAGACTAATCTGAATGGCATCAAACAAAGTAACTGTTCTATATTATCCTTTCTAGTCCACCTTTTACTTTTTTTGCAAACGAACTGCGAGACCATGCGAGTGTCAAGCATCTTCCTAGCTTGCGCTGTCGGCGTGTCTGCCGAGTTGCAAAAGAGCGATGCCGAGGCCGCTCTAGAGCAGGCATACTCTGGGTTGATTTCGTCCTTCAACACGGAGGACTATGCTACCCAAGCACAGGCGATCTCCTTTTTAGCCCGCTCTCCGGCTTTCCAGGCTAAAATGGCTGCCATGCCTCAGTGCGATTTTGGTGCGGCTGAAGGCGCTGCTGCGAAGAAAGGCGTGTCTGCGTACCCAGGTGGCATCGTCGCCCGTTTGTTTGGCTCAGATCTCAGCTCCTTGGTCGCCAAGATGGCTCCGCAGGGTCGCGGTGCCGCGGAGGTCTTGGCCGCCAACGGCCTGGCCACTGGCGCAGGCCTCGTTCAAAGCGCTATGTCAGCCCTGCTAAACGTTGCTCCTCCGCTCATTGGTGCACCGGTGTGGATCAATCAGCCGCTTCCATGCATGCCTATGGCAACGGCCTCCAACTGTGGAGGAAGCGTTCTATACCCTATCACTGCCAGCGACTTCGCTATGGCAGATGTTACGGACAGACAGTTGGATGGTACCATTGCTGATTTTCCTCGCTTTTACCGCAACACTGTCGGTAAGACCAGCGACGCTGCCTACAAGGCCTGCTTTGCAGCTTACATGGGAATGCAGTGCGCTTCCGTCTTCCCGCGTTGTGCAGTGCCGATGGCACGCGAAGAGCCAAGTCCAATGGGAAGACTGCCACTGTGCTTCACCAGCTGCTTGCTGACGATGACGGCGTGCCCAGGAATGTGGATTTCGGATATGAAGGACGAATGCAGCATGGTCAGCGCTCCGCCGGCGTGCTCCATGGCAATTTTTCACAACTTCCAGTTGCTCCCGCCGCAGTACGAGTCCTTCGAGGAAACGATCGGTGCCCCGACCGAGTGCCCACAAATGCCGGCCGTTGCGTCTCAGTTGGGTCTTGGAGCAGACAGTGACGTGTACACGCTTGGTGGTGCCTCGTCTGGTGCTTACAGCAGTGAAGGAGCTTTGCCGCATGCCTAATCCTTTTGGGAGCCTGTGACTTTTTGAATCCCGTTATCCGCGTGTTTGAGTAACTGCAACAGTAGACCTTCAATTCTAAGTAAGCGTCCTTCGAGTGTTCCTAATCTCGCTCGGGCATAAGGCTACCCTACTGTCGTGCGAATGATTTCGGTTTCGTTTTGGTATGAACTGGTCCATTATAATCTTCTACTGAATCATATTATTTTTGTCGTAAAATTTCAACACAGTCTTTTTTGCATCGTACAGAATCAACAATGCGCGTCTACTTGTATTCCGCTCTTGTTGGCGCGGCAGCCGCTAACGGAGCTAGCGATGCCGTTCTCGCAATCGTAAATTCTCTTTCTGGAGGATCTCCCGCCCCTCCTGCTGCAGCAGCGGCTCCTACTAACGGAAAAGTCGAACAAATCCAGAAGGCCTTGACAGAGGGCGCCATGGCTTTTGCGCAGGCATCTGCCTTTGCGCAATCCGCTGGTCTCAGCGAAGGAGCTGCGGCTGCGTCGGGACTGGGTGGAGCGCCGGTTTCCGGATCGAGTACGGGGGCAGCTTCGTTTCTCTCCCGCGGATTGGATGCCAGTCAAATTTATGTCCAAGGTTCCAATCTGGATCTAATGGTTGGGCTATTCCCACGGGGAAAAGCCCTGCGGATCCCCCTCTCTAGAAAAATCTAAATCAGTAGACATCTCTAGCATTTCTAATGCATGGCAGTCATCGCAAACAATGTCATGGGTTCAGTGAAGGTTAAATCCGGCCGCAGTTGTGGCGCGGGCATCCCGAGCAGCGGTTGCCCAAAAACTTGGTCTGCCGCCGGAAGTATGTGCACCCCTCCAGCCGGTTACGCTGGCTATTGCTCCGGAATTCCCCTGGGCCTCTCCGCTGTCGAAGCTGAAGAAATGGAGATCTTCTGTGGCGTTTGTTACATGGACATGTGAACTGATTTGTTGCCGGAGATAAAAATCGTGTGAGCCTTCATTTCCTTGCTTTGTTGAACCCGTGACTCTTTTCGCACAATGCACTGTTGCGTCGTTATTATGTTTTCAACTGCGTGTGCCTCCTTAGATAGTGATATCGATCGATCGCTCGACCTACGACTGAGCAATTACTGGATACTCGACGCACGAAAGTCAATCAGAGATTTCTTAGCTTTTTTCTCGCTATTCAAACCAAGATGCAGCGTGTCGGGTCTCTCCTTGTGACCTTTTTCGCGGTCACCGACGCCGCAGCGCCTTTGCGGGTCAAGGTTGCCGGCGCAAATCACTACGCGGCTGGTGCGAAGGATATCGCTGCCCTCGAGAGCCGTGTCGCAAACTTCATGGCGTCCGCCATGGGCAAAGGCAGCTTTTTGCAGGGCAAAGGAGGAATGGCAACGCCGGGTAGTGGAGTGAAGCATGCCCTTTTTTTGACGCAGCCGATGCGGTCTCCTAGTGGAGTTAAAATCAATGTGGTGGAGAAGAAGCCGAACTCTGCTGCATCAGCAGCTGCCGACGCACAGCAGGCGGCGTTCAACATGGAAGCTTTTGCTGCTGGACTTTCTGACCTTGCCGGCTCCGGTCGTGCATCTTTTGTTGCCTCAGACTCTCTTGAGGGCCTGGTCAACCGGGGCGCTATGGCGCGAGTCGCGACGCTCGGCGCGTATCAAACGATTTCGATGCCTGTCCATGTGCTGGCGGCGGTTGTGAAGAGCGCGTGCGGATGCGTGGATGTCTATACCGAATCCAAGTGCCTTTTGGCAGCCAATCCAGTGTGCCCACCGCTGCACAGCCTTTTGCAGCGTGCTTTCGCAATGCAGGAGCAAGTGTGGAATGGCGTCAAGTTTACCACTGATAAGGCCGGCAAGGTTGTTGGAAGCCCACTCATTGCCAGCCCCCCGTAATTGATCAGGGATGAAAGAAAGCAAGAGACAATCTGCAGCTTTGTGCAGTGTGAATGCATGAATAGTAAACTTCCGTTGCTTTCGGCTGAGCTGAGAAAAGCAAATGTTCTCTGATAGACTTTCGCTTTCGGTAGATCGATGGTGGAATTGATACGTTAATATCGACGCATATTGATACTTAAGTACCGAGGGAAGGGAAGTAAGCTCTATGAAAATTGGCATGTTCTGTCTTATGAAAAACAGTCAAGTTTTTTATCTCGCTACCTCGCTCAAAAAATGAAGTATTTCGCTGTTGCAGTGTGTGCGATCGTCGGCGCGGAAGCCGCAAAGCCAAGCTTCGCCACAGGACAGGCATTGGGCGCTGCTCTTTCGGAAGCGATTTCTTCCGGCGAAGGATCGAAAATTTCTGCTGCGCTGCTCGCCGGCCAGAGTTTTCTCAAGCGCCCCTCCACGCTCAACTTGCATGTCGGAGAGACCGCGCAGACTAGCTCGTCCGAACGTGCTGCAACAACGTCGGCGCTAATGGCACTGGAGTCAGGCGAGGCCCGTCTTTTGGAGACTCTCAGTCAAAAGAGCTCTTTCATCCAATCGCCCCTCAGTGACTTACAGCGATTGGGAGCAGAGGCCGCTGTGTTCAAAGACGCTCTCACTTACTACGGCGGACTAGTGGACGCTGGCGACCGCCGGGGTCTTGTTGGTCTTTTGCAACTGGCCAGTTTGCCGAACGCACGCGTTCCCATGGCGACAGTCCTCTTCAAATGCACTCAATTCGCGAAGAAAGAAAGCACGTCTGACGCCGATCGTGAACTTGCTGGCTCTATCATCACTTACCTGACCAACATGCCGGTGGCTTTCCAGTCCAGTGATGCAGCGTCCGGTTCGTACGGCCATACCAACATCGTGCTACCAGCTCCAAGCCGCGTCTATGGCCACTAGGTGGTGAAGCTCTGACGCGACCACAGAAAGCAGTATGAGATCCTAACGACAATTCGGAGATCCTGCATCATAATTAGCTTGAAAGAAAGAATTTGAATTTCAATTTCTCGTCGGGCTGTTTCTGTTCTAAGGTTTGAGCCTGTTTCGTCATCGTCTCTCTAGAATCGTCGTATGGAAAGATGCGAGCGCGTGATAGGCTTATCTTTACCGAGTATGCCTATGATTCAAAAGAGCTGACTCTTGTATCAATTCATGTTTGGCATTCTAAATAGACCTCACTAGCTTTTTTTTCAACGTGTACAAACGCAAAGATGATGCGAAGTAGCCTGCTGCTCTTCGTGCTGGGCTTGATCATGCCTGCAGTGGCCTTCAAAGACATCAGCAGCCACTCCGGTGCAGGCCCTGTCGAGGTCATCACCGTCGCGACAGAAAGTGGCGTTCCCGATGCTCTTGCTGCGCGAAGATATGCCGAAGCTCGCCGAGCCGAATCAGCCGCATTGGCCGCTGTGGCAAATACTCGCTCGAGGGCTTACCGCAACCTGGAGCAAATGCTGACCACAGAGCGTCTCTCTGCGGCGCAGCTAGGCTGATCCCATGAGCCGGATACACATTCATAGATGCTATGGTCTTTCCGTCGACAACAAAGAGATGATGTAACAATATGCGAAGCTAGAGGATTACCAATTTCGTTTTTTCACTTCGAGAGAGTGTTCAACTGATTGAAAAGTCGTGTCGCCTACGATTTCTACGTAACAGCGGCTTTCCTTGGTTTTACAGTCATGACTTCAAGAAACGCGGTCTTTCATCAAACGCAGTTTTTCTTTCTTTTAACACCTAACGAAAATGACTTTGAAGTCACTGTGCGTCATCGCCTTGGGCTCTTACGCCGTGGCTGAAGGTGCCAAGCCGGTTGTCGAATTGTCGATTGCCTCCGCCTCGACCCCCTTCCCGGCTGTTTCCGATGCTATCGCTAGCGCGGAGTCCTCGCGTGCAGCTGCCCTTCGACAGGCGTCGGCTGAGGTCGATCAGGCATACAAGGAGACCCTTGCGCAGGCCTCGGTAACGCTTGGCAACACGATTGCGAAAGCGCTGGGGCGAACGTCATTCGCAAATATTGCTGAGCCAACTATCTCGGTCTCTCTTGCCAAATCTGCTTCCGATGAAGCTGCAGGTGCCTCGGCCGTGAAAAGTGTGGAGGGAAAGCGCGCGGGAGCTGCGGCTGCTCTTGTCGCGTCCGCAAAGAAGGAGTTCCAGGAGGTCGCGAAGGTTGTGATTGCAGAGTTCGATCGCCAGGTCAAAGGGAAGGCCAGCTTTCTGCGTTTTTCCCGTGAGATTAACGTCCGCGCAGTCGCTGATCCGAGTTATGCGACAATTTCGGGTTTGATCCAGGGAATGGAATCACGACGAGATTCCGAGGAAGCTCGCCTGCGCAGTCAAATTCTTCTTCGTGAGCTCGACTTGGTCCGCGCGCTCAACCGAGTTGGCGCTTCCGCCTTGTCTAAGTAATCGGCCAGCTCATGAAATGAAACGCGATTGTGTAGTGATGAAAATCGACCGTTAAGAAGAAAATAGATGGCCTTGGCGATTTGGGCAAAATGTGGTCGCTGTTCGTATTGAGACTGACTCGTGAGCAAATAATGCAGAACAGGTAAATGAATGAATGAATATCCATACGGAAATGCATCAATCTCAACTAGAAATCGTTGCGGCTTTGTATGGCTTGTCAATCAATGAAATTGATGGAGTTTCTTTTCGAGTAGAGGAAAGTCTTTGTTTGTCATCTGCAAAACCAAAAGTATGTTCGTTCGTGTAGCAACCTGCGCTGCTCTCCTCGGGGCACATGGCGTTTTCGCTGATTCGGAGCCGCTGATTGAGGTGGCGTTGGCTCCACCGGTGGGAGGGTCCGCAGGCTTTGCAAACTTTGCAAAGCAAGAAGCATCGATGGAGGCATCGGCCCTGCAGTCGCTGTCGGGTGCATACCAGAGCGCGATCGCTTCTGCCAAACAGCAGATCGATGCTGCAGTCAAGGGCTCTTTTCTGCAGAAAAGGTCCGATGAGATTTTCGTGCGTGTTCTTGATGCGCCGGCACCTGCAAGTCTTGGACGCGCAGAGGCTATGGAGGGCATGCGTCAGAAGATGGAGAGTGCCTCTATCGCGCAAGCTGCAGGCGAGTTCGATAGCTTGACGAAGGTCGTCGTTGGTGAGTTGCAAAACGCTCTGCGCAGCAGCTTCTTGCGTGGAGGTCAAATTGGCGTCAAAGTCAAGGCATCGGACATTCCCTTCGCCAGCACCCTGGACTTGCTGCGAGCACAGGAGACAGGCCGCGATATGTCTGAGGAGAAGTTGCAGTCGAAGGTCCTGGACATGCAGATCGCGTTTGTGAAGACGCTCAACGGCATGATTGCAGCCGCTCTCGCATAATTCTCGCTAGGACAGATAGGACCATGATCATAGATTCTATGATTTATAATGAGGGACCCTGGACAATCGATCAATTGAAAACTGTGCTAAATGCAACATGTCACGCGTAAACTTTGTCTTGTTCGTCGTTGTTTTTCAATTGTTCGTGAACTTGCACAAACCTCGCTACTCCTACTTGAATGGCAAATGTTTGAAGGATTTGTTTGAAGGTGACGAAATATTCTGCAAATAGATCTGAATTATAGTACTTATTTTTTTCGTGCGTTAATTCACAAGCAAGATGTTCGTGCGAGCATTGGTTGCAATGATCGGAGCCGCGCTCCTCATGGGTGTGAATGCCCAGAGGGATCCGACACTTGACGATATTGCCACTGCAGCTGCGGCATACCGCCAGGCCGGACAGGCATACTTGCAAGCGAGCAAGAGTGCTGCAGCAGCTGCTGCCGCGGGGCCGGGTTGCGTGAGAGATGAGACAACCGGGGCCTGCACGTCTTTTCTCAAGTCCCGTTCTCCTATTGCCGGTGGCGTGATGCGTGGACTCATTGCGCGAGTCATGGGTGCTGATGCTGCGGACACCCCTGAGCGTCTGACGCAATCGCCGATCGTGCAGATGCACTTGCACGCTTGATAGGTGTGCTGCCAAGTCAGGTCTGCTAGTGACATCCGTTTATATCTCGTAGTCGTCGCTGCCGCGCGCTTGTTGCAATAAGGATTGAGAATAGAAGTATGGTCTGTGAGAATATCGTGTTCATCTAATGCTATGTTTATTGTCATCGAAGAGGGAACTAGATGCACGTAATAATTAGCCTGAGATGCCACGCACTTCGCATCGTTTCGTGGCCAGGTGTTGGCCGAGTTGGTTTCAATCTTCAATTTTACTCTAAATGACAAGTTTGTAGCTGATTTGTTTTTCAAAACGCAAAAAAATGATGCGCACTCTGGGCCTCTGCTGCCTTTTCGGAAGCGCTGCAGCTTCAGTTTATCCAGGGGATGCTGCTGCGGCGGCAGGTCTGATCAGCGGTGCATTAAGGAGTGCTGCGTCAGCCTCCGCTGCCAGTGGCAACGGTGCGGCTAATGAAGCAAGAATGATTGCCGTATCAAGTGAGGCACTTGCGGAGTCCGTTTCTTCAGCTATGAGTCTCGACGCCCTCAAAAAGGACGCCTTTATCATGGCCCATGTTGCAGCACGCAAATTTCTCGCCACCGGTGGCTGTGCACGGGACTTTTCCGGGTGCCCCGCTGGATTCGTTGCGGACGCAGGTACTTGTTCCCCGGGTATGTACGACGGACCGTGTGGCGCTTTTAGCCTCTCTATGGGTGCTGACGCGAAGGCGGATTGGAGCTGGAAATGTGGCGCAAGCTGGCCTTGTGCCTAATTTGTCTGCTGGAAAGTGAGATGTAGACAATCGTAATTGGTGAAACACATGGCCCCAACTGATGCTTTGAATTGTCGTTCTGATAAATGTCTGCATTTCTGGTTCGCTGGACTTCGTTGTTCGTTGACAGCTTTCATTGTTGACCTCGTCAAATTGTAGTTCTTGTTGCACTCCGCGCAGTGATGTCCTGATGATGTTGACATCTCTTTCGATATTACGTCTTTTCCGTACGAAATCAATAGGTGACTTTCTTGCTTTCGAAACTCAACAGAAAGATGGTTGTCCGCGTGTTCTCTTCGCTTGTCGCACTGGCGGTGTGCTCTAGTCACGCTGCCGCATACACAGCAAGCAACTCTCCGTACATGCCGGGTAACTGGAACCTGCCGACTGCAGGGACTGAGGTATTCGGTGCCGATGTTGCTAAATCTCTCCCGGAAATCTACGTGCGCTTTCAGCTCCCAGAAGTTTCTGCGCAGCAACTTGCCGCTGATGTGGAAAGCACAAGTGAGATTGACTCACGCATTCATGCGATTGCTCAGGAGCTCGCTTCAGACAAAAACTTGATTGGTATGATGGCGCCGTCTTCGTTCTTGCGTAGGGGCGACGCTGACATTTTCGCAGCTTTGAACTCTGTGAAGGGAGGAGCTGCCGGTAACTTTCCAGGCATGGAAGCTTGGAGTGAGTTCATGGCTGGCCTTGCACATTCCCCGCGGCCCCATGTCGCTCAAGCGGCTACCGCCTCTGGGTGCTGTTAGAAACGTGGCGCCAACGCACTAAGTAAAATGTAGGAAGCATGGCTATGTCAAAAGACTTTACTTGAGCGCCAATGACATTGCTGCGACAGAGAATTTAACTTTAAGCAACAGTGTTCTGTATTATTTCGCCCAGTCCTATCGAGCGTGTACTACAGTTCGTTTTCCCGGTATCGATTCGTTACGAGGAGTGTTTTCTGAAATTAAACGGTATTTCACCTACGCGAATTCCATCTTCAACTGCAGTTTTTGTTTTTCTCTCTTCTCAAGAACAAAGATGTTGTCCACGCGTGCTTTCGTTGCTGCTTGCCTGGCATCATCCGCCCAGGCGGTTCGGATGATGGCGATGCCAGACCCTCTCTCTATCTTACCGCCCGGTGTTGCTGGAGGTATTGCTGCGGCGGTTTCGGACGACACACCGTACATCCTGAATTTGATGCCGCCAACGGAGGACGGTGCGGCTATGAACGGCCTCATAGATTCTTTTGCGGCGATCGAGAAATCTCACGAACAAGCGATTGAGGCGCAGGCAGTTGCCGACAAGCAGCGTCTTCTCGCCGCCGAGCTTCAGAAGGTTCATTCTATTTGCGCAGCGGCAAAGCGCAAGAGCTTTCTTTCTGCATACGCGACACTTGCTCCTAAGGCGGACCATTCTTTCGTGCTTCACGCGCCAGCAGAGTCGGCCGCGGATATTACTGGCGCCGCCAATTCGATCATGAAAGTTGAGACGGCGATTGCGCAGGAAGCGGAAGCTGGCGCTGCAGCTATGAAGAAAGCACTGCTGGCACACGAAATCGCAGCTATCAGCTCGATCGTGCGTGGCGCCTTTCACTAGGTCTTTGAACTGGTTCCCCGTTGATTATATCGACCAGTAAAAACGAAGATGCTTCTGTTCTTGTGTTCTGTCCGGCTAGACAGCGGCCTCGTAATGTCATCGTTCTTTTGTCGTTGGAAGTGCGGAGGCTGACTTTTTTGCTTTTTCGTCAATACGAAGATAATGTCTCACCAATGAATTAGCAGATTTTTTCTTCGTCAAGCAAGAGGTAAAATTCTTTCAACGAAGATGACGTGCAAAGCTGTTATCATCTCCCTGGTCGCAGGTGTCGCGGCTCTCGAACCTTTCGTCCCGCCAATCGCCGTCCAGGATGTGATGCAGGCCAGTCTTCCTGGGGTGATCGACATCCATTACGATGTCCCAGCTGGCTTTGAGGCGAGCAAGGGCGCATCAGACGCCGATGCTGCGGCCCGATCTACATTGTACGAACGCACGTCTTTCTTGAAGAAAGGCACGACTGATGTCTACTTCGAGAAGCCGGCGTCTGCCGCGGCGCTCGAGCAGAGTTACCAGGCCATCCTGTCCCAAGTGAAGTCCAATATCAAGGCGAAGTTCTACGCTATGTCGGGTGCGTCGTTTCTAGCGACCTCCCCATCCGTTAATGTTTTTGTGGGAGAAGGAAAGGGCATGACTGTTGATATGGCGCGTCTGTCCATGGACGCGTACGCGTACGCGGGCCAACTTATGGCGGGTCTCGAGACTCGTTCAAGTTTTCTGGCTGGCGACGATGTGCCGCACCCTCTTCCCGTGCTGAACATTGACGTGACAACGCCGGCTTTCGTTTCCTCCGAGGCAACGACACTGGCCCAGACACACGCTGCGACAGTTGCAAGGCTGCAAAGTGAGCTGAGCGGCTTGAGCCATTAGAAAGATTCATTGAGAGTGTGATGTGTATGTACTTCTGACAGCTGAAAGGTTTGAATGCTAGACACATCATGAGAAAGTACAACTCGGACGATAACTCTCACTTTGACTGATGATGCGGCATCTCTTTCCTTGTCAGTCCCTAAGGAGGACATGTTCGCTGCATTTAATTGTGTGAAAATGGCAGAGAAAAAATAGAGTGCTTGCAATCACAGACCGAGATATCGCACGAACAAGAAGCTTAACGCAGCGGCTAAGGTCTGACCAATGTCAACTGAAACAATGATAATGATGGCGTTGAGACACCTGCTTTCTTGTGATTCTCTATGGAAAGCGTGTTCGCTGCCTTTCCTGAATTTATCAAATGTCAGCTGAGAGAAGACAGAGCGGAGATGCGTCGTTCTACAGCCAGCACTTTGACGCGATTGTATTTTGCTGGCAGAGTGAAGATGATATTCTTTGGAAGTGTATGTTTTTTTGTGACTCTCACTTTGAGTGGTGCATCGGACTCTGATGAAAGGGAGAGAGAGAGAGAGGGAGAGTATCAGTCATGATGAAAACGCGCAAAGTTTCATCGTAATAACTTATTAATTGACGCATCACTCAGGCCCAGGCGCAAAGATTTTTTTTCGCGGCCTCCCATCTGGTTTTTTTTTCAGTGTGGAAGTTCAATTTTTTTTTTCTGGCAAATCAAATTGTGAGAAAAGAGGTGTATGTATCAAAGGTGCCATCAAAGCTAATGCCATGCTATAATTGCGGTTTTTTTTCATACATTGCGAGGAAGATTGCAACATCCAATTTGCTTCATGCTTCGTCGTTTGCCTGGTATTCACAGAGTCTTTATTAGGCATCTTAGTGACTCGTGATCCTACGTTTGTATTCAAGAGTAGAAGAAAATGTTGTCGACTCTGCGGGGGCCCCTTTCTCGGCGGCTTGCGCGGAAGCCCAAAGTCGCTGGTGAGGCACAAAGCGCATGGCTTCGCTACTTCAGCGACCACGCGGAGGTCACATCCAAGGATCATCTCCCGATTCAGGAACGATTAGCGATGTTCGACCGTACCCGCTCGGGACATTTCATTTATGGCCAGAATATGAAGAACCACAACAACTTCCCCTTTCTAAAACTAAAAATGAAGAAATATATAAATTAGTTGAATACAACAACATGTTGCTTCTGATCTATGACCTAAGGAGAGATGATAGTTCGTCTGTCGAATGGTCCTAGACGTCGCTAGAAAGCATGCTTGTTTACGTTTCAATCTGAATTTTCTAGAAGTCGCATAATCTCAGGTAAGATCTATTCTTGTAGACGGTACAAGGACTCGAAGGCATGCATAGATCTATTCTTGTAGACGGTACAAGGACTCGAAGGCATGCATAAACTCTAATGTATCCCCTTGAAGCCGGATGCGAGTCTTGTCTCGGACCTGGAAACCTACGATCATCCAACCATCGACCGGAAAAAGTTTGTCAAAAGTATCCGCGCTCCAGTTGGCCTTTACACCATGATATACGACGTCATGCGGGAGGAGCTGAAGGGAATGGGCGACCTGTCCCAATTTGACCAGGGCGTCAGTTTATGTGCACACTCGTTCTTCTAAATAAAGTACTACTACCTACGTTGTCCAACTTCATGTGCAGGGCTGATCCTAAGTTTCAAAAATGAAGAACGTTGATTTGTGAATCGATCATCTGGAATTAATCATTTTGTAGCAATGCGCCTGATTTTCGTAGGTCTTGTTAGAAATATAGCGATGCTGCAGCACGATACCCCTCCCCGTGAAACACGGTAAGTCGTGAATACCTAGTACATGAATAAAGCAGTCATCTGAACCCCCTCTAATCACGAAAATTCTCTCCGAGTCGGAGCAGAAGGCCTACCTGGATACTCTACTGGCTAACATGATATTCCCGAAAAACGTTGCGAGACATGCGGACAAGGCGACAAAGGCGACCCAGCTGTTTCCGGCGTACATCTATTCCCACATGTCCGCAGGTTTGGGAAATTACATCATGGAAAAGACAGGCAGGAGCAAGATTGACGATGCCTACCGATATATCACCTACTACCGTTCCGGGCTCATGATGGAAGAGTACTTATTTTCAACAACGAACTATAATCATGCTTAAAAATATATTACAGTTGTGAAGATGTTTTCCTCTCTTGTAAGAGCAAGCTGAACATTAAGACCCACCAACATGAGCTGTTAGCTCAAAGGAATCGGCATGCACGAGAATATCCTTTTTTTCATATACAAGTGCAAGTGGTACTTTCGAATTTATTCATTATACATAGGTATATTATCTCATCGTCATAAACCTAGGTTGTACCGCATTGGCTACAGCCGGGAAGAGGCTATCAAGATGGTCGCGAAGGAGCACTTTCTGCAGTACTGGTCTGGTGACCCCTTTGGCCCGAACCGCGACCCGCATGTGTACAACCCTTTCAAGCGCACATTCTACCCGTGCGAGTCGCACATCAGCGAGGGATCCACCGACTTGGGACGCGACCACGAAGTTGAGACAGCCCGTCTCTTCTCCATGGGCTTCGAGGGCATGGAGCCACCAGTGACCATCCTCAGTTCCGGTGACACAGGTATGTTCACGGACGGCGCGCTCAACAGTGTCCAGCACTTGGTAGAGGCGTCCGAGCGAGGATTCGCCATGCCCCTCATCTACCAGGTGTGCATGAACAATAGCGCAATCTCCACGCGCTACGACAATTAAGGCACCACACACTACTTCTAGTACTTATCCACAAATGAGAGAAGATATGTCTTCTACAACTCAGGAATTTCACGCATTTCGTCTGCTTAGCCTCCACGCGCCATTTCTTCTGGTTGTATTCACAAATGAGAGAAGATTTGAATTTGTCTTCTACTTACTCTCTCTATCATCTCCTTCGTGAAAAGGTGCGTTATCTAAAATTGATATCGATAAATATCAGCTATGTAATATGAATATGTAGAAGTCCACCTCGTCCTTCTTGCGATTAATATTCATATTTCGCTAGAACTAGAAGCAAGAGAATTTCACTAGTTCCTCCCCTTTTGTGGAGCTTCTCCTAGCCCCCGCTCTAAGACACAGGCCGTGACTACGGTGTGGATGACCTCGACGTGTGCCTCATGAAATTGGAGAACCGCTTTGCACAGTATGAAGGCCTCATTGACCCGGGTTTCGTTTCTCGCTCTGGAGATGTTGCTGATGGTATGGAGTGCATGAGGAATGCCGTAGATCAGGTACTACCCCTCCTTTCATCAGACTTTGGTTTCTTTTTACAGAAAGTGCTACAACTGTGATAGTTTGTTAGATTAATATTGGTATAGTCTACAACTTTGAGTCATTTTTATCTTGTTACACAGGTCAGGAATGAGCAGAAGGATGTGTCTTCTTCAAGATTTTACCCTTGTTGTTGGAGCAAATTCAAACACCACTACAGTTGCAGTTAAGTGTCCTCATTCGTCCATCATAGGAAGACACCACGATTCCATTGACACCTAGGTTCTGGAAACCGGGCGACCGACGTATGTTATTTCAAGCTTCCCGTTCCGTCCGGGAGGCCATGCCTCTGACGCGAACCCTTCTCCGGAGCCGATTATTCTTGATCAGTTCAAGAAAACGAAGGATATCTTTATGAAGCAGCTTTGTGCAGCGGCACCACCAGGTAGCCTATTTTGCCTGGAGTTTTCTGCTTTTCTACAGTTTTGATTTTCCACAGAATGAAATATCTAGACACTCCGTTTGTCCTCGTCACTACTACAGCATTTGTCCATTGTGAAGGTAAAAATAGATCCGAGAAATGTGCAAAATGAGTATCATCCTTATTCATCGTGCAAACTGACCTTGATAGGAATGACCGGCCCGGAACTGGCAGATATGATGAAGGAGTATCATGAGATTGTACATGGCGAGGTGGAGTTGGCCATCCGTGGACGCAATATCCTCACTAAGCAGGAGGCCTACGAGATCTCCCAGCCAGGAGTGACGACCACATTAGCGCAAGAGCCAGGCCAGATTGTCGACATCGACGCACAATACATGATGAACAAAAACCAAGCTGCTTTCGCGGGTATGGGGTCTGACATCTATGGTCGCGCCATCAATGCGCAGTTCGACAAAGCCGTGGAAGAGGGCAAGGAGATGCGGTATTCCACCTTTTCAGAAAACGACTTCTGCTTCCTAGGCGAGGACTTTTGTGGTCGTTATGATTTTCTGGAAACTTGAGCGTCTCCTGCTACTAGGCAAGTTTTGTAGTTATTTCATCTCGAAACTTGAAGATGAACGTTTTTTATATTTTCATTCACAGTTCACGCTTAGGTTTCCCATCACGTTTACAATAGTATCGCGTCTGGTTATTTCGTGACATCAAAAATATTGATATTATAGTACCCTCTAGTGCAGTGGAAACCTGATGTACCATTGTCCCTCCACCAAGGTACGTGCATCAAGAAAACCACTACGCGGGTGAGCACGACAGTCGTGGTGGCGTTTACGGTGAGTTGAACGCTGTGCAAGGAAAGCACACCAAGAAATTTGTGTCCATTTTTCCGCAGGAAGCACAGGTGATGCAGGTCGGTTTGGCTATGCGCACGGTTTTGCCGAAGGATAACATTAAGGGTTACCACATTGCATTCTTCACTGCCATCCTTGACTCTTTTCCTAGTAAAAAAGAGGCCAGGGATGATCTGAAGAATGCAATGCCGCAACCTCTAATAACAGGGTCTTTGTGAAAGGTCCGCACACGATCTTCAACGAGCACTGCCGAGACGTGATGAAGTATGCCGCTTTCCTAAAGTGCGATCGTGGTCTCCAGGGCAACTGCATGTACATCTTCGACGGCGGATCCATTGCGAACAAGGACAAGTTCAACTTTACAGACCCCGTCACGGGAGAAGAGGTGCATATTACAATTTTACTTTTATATTATTCGGACTGATCGCATTGAGGATCCATCAGATCTAATCTATACAGATACTTAGGTTTATTAATTACATCTTCTATCGTACTCAATTACACTTTCTTGCACCAGCACCTTGCTTTTGACCACAACATCATCAGTTTTTGCCCTTCTTTCATTCCTTTTTGAGTAAGTAAGTCTCGCGCCTATTTCGGGCGTGCCAGCATCCTGTCGTATCCCAGGTTCGCACTCCACAGTAGCTCCACATCATCTATCACAACCCTTCCAAAAACCAGACCAGGTTTCATCTTCTCTTGATGTTGATTTATCACTTAGTACTCATGATAAGTTATTAACTTCCCAAAGCGTTTCTTTTCATGATACTAGGTGAAACGCGACATGTGGCTTGCGCGTGTCGGTGAACATCATAACACTGCGGAGTATTCTTCCTACGCTGCGGATGCAAATACGGTTGTGTGCACTCCAATCGATATGAACCTTTTTGCAGCCTCAGTGCCAGAATGCGTGCGACTCTATGACATGGGTCGCTTTACCGTGACTGTCGCTCCCACTGCCAGCTTCGGCCTGCTGCATCCTAAGTTATGACAAATTCCTTATTTTCCATCCATTTTCCCCTTCGCTAATTGTCGTGACTTAGACAGAATTATTGATTGCTCCTCAACCCGTCATATATAGTACATGTTTTCCGTAGCAATAATTGCTAAGCAGCATCTTTCAGTCGACCTTCTTGATCATAAGATGACGGTATTTTCATGTAACAGGGCAGCTAGGCCACGACCATTTCACGACTGCATTTTGATTTAACAATTGTTGTAGGCAAACCGAGAGCAAACAAGATACATCAGCAAAAGATGAAAAACACATCTCTAAGTTCCTTTGACGGCCTCGAGGCAGCTGGTAAAGAATCCTTGACGGTCAACGACATGCTTCGTGTCAACTTCGGCGACAAGTCCGGTTTTAACCCACCTGCAAATGGTAGGAAATTGGTCGTCCTGTCCTACGGTCCCGATGCAAAGTTCGTCACAAAGGCCCTAGTCGACAGCAAGGTAATGCTCTTATTTAGCTAGAATGCAGCTGATTTTTGAAGAGTCATGCTGATTTTTGAATCGTGCTATATTATTATACCTTATCATTTATTTGATTTGATCGAAGCTATGTATAGTACATTGTCATTTATTAGTTGTATATCTTCCTCTGGTCTGTCTTTTTTCTAGTTAGGTCGGCAGCTCCACCACAATTTATTAGTTGTGTCCAACACATCAGGGACTATCTTGGGGTACTTTAAGTACATTATCATTAGTGTCCAACACATATTAGCTTTAGAAGTTGTAAGAAGTTCGGACTCGTCTGACAGGAGACCTAGTTGTAATGCGGGCCCCAAAAATACTAGTGTCATCTTCATCTTCTAATCCGTCTCAATCTGATAATCTGTCTCAACACAGGTTGATTGCGAGATGTTCGTTTTGAACTACAACCGCACGCCCAACTCGTTGGTGAGCTACTTGCAGAGCCGTATGGGCGAGGAACTGGATATCCTCCTCGTGGACCAGAACTGCAATGCTGCTCTTTACGGTCCTGTGATCACGGACTTGAAGCGCAAGCTGCAATATCCGCGCAGCTTCTTTTTCGCTGAGTGCTCTATCCCGCAGACGTTTATCCCATACGGATTCGGCGAGCCATTGTTGCAGGAGTCGGACATCATCGAATCCTTGCAAACACAGGGCATCATCGCAGGAGGAAAGCCGAAGGCTGCGGTAGGACAACCTTCATCTTGTTTTTTGAAGTAAAAACGATTAGTACAAACAAGTAAATCCATCATCCAGAAGTCCATCATCCAAAAGAACAGGTAAAACTTGATTCAACAGTTTTCATTTTTCGTGATGCTTCGAATTCGATCCAAAGATTATAAGATGATACAAAATCATAGGCTACTCCGTCCGCGGCCCCCATCGCTTCCGCTCCGTCCACAGCAAGCGCTGCTCCCGCCGCCGCCGCCGGAGGACAGATGGTCACCGTAAATGCCCCTATGGATGGCGAAGGTGTCTACCTTACCTTCCACAAGAAGGTCGGCGATTCCGTGCAGAAGGGAGACATCGTCATCGAGGTCGAATCCGACAAGGCCACAATCGAAGTATTATGGTCAGCTTTTTGTTTTTTCCATCATTCTCGGCATCTTGGTCCCCTTTTTTCTTGTCTTCTCGTGAGAAATACAAGGTAAAAGGGGTCAAGATGAGGGGGCCGAGATGCAATCTAGCAGACTCTAAAAGTAGTTGCACCCCAAGCGGGCGTCATCAAGGAGTTCCACGCGAAGGAGCAAGACGAGATGGACGTCGACCCATCCACGAAGCTCTTCAGCATGGACGCTGGCGGTGCAGGCGGGGCTGCTGCCCCGGCCGCAGCTCCTGCAGCATCAAGTGGCGGCGCAGTCGTCGATGTGAACGCGCCCATGGACGGTGAGGGCGTCTACCTCACCTTTCACAAGAAGGCAGGAGAAGCAGTCAAGAAGGGAGACATTGTGGTCGAAGTTGAATCCGACAAAGCCACAATTGAAGTCGCTGCTCCTCAGGATGGTATGTTGTAAACTAATTCCGTTGCAGGAAACACTATTGACCTCTGAGTATGAGTTTCGCAATAAGCGTTTCAACTTCATCATGTGGTGCTTTTCCTTTTCCTTTCGACAATAGATAAGTACTTCAACTTTATCATAAAGTGTTTGTGCTTTCGATAAAAATTTCCCGTTCTTACCTTGCATACCAGGTACAGTCAAAGAGTTTTTTGTGAAGGAGCAGGATGAGATGGATGTGAGCCCATCCACGAAGTTGTTTAGCATGGAAGTTGGAGGCGGTGGCGGTGCTGCTGCACCGGCCGCAGCTCCTGCCGCGTCCAGCGGTGGCGAAGTCGTGCCCGTGAATGCACCTATGGATGGCGAAGGTGTCTATCTTACTTTCCACAAGAAGGCGGGACAAGCAGTTAAGAAAGGCGACATCGTTGTCGAAGTTGAATCCGACAAGGCTACGATTGAGGTTGCCGCGCCTCAGGACGGTACTACTTAAATCTATCAATGCCTTGTTATGAAAAAATTTAGAAACAAAGAAATTTTTGAACTACTTCTAGCCATACTTTGAAACACTTGTTTCTTTATAATTGCAAATGTCACTCATCGCAATGACCTGTTGTAATTTCCCTCGCATCTCAGGTGTTGTGAAGGAATTTTTCGTGAAGGAACAAGATGAAATGGACGTGAGCCCGGACACTAAATTGTTCACGCTTGAGGTCGGAGGAGGTGCCTCCGCACCTGCGGCCGCGCCTGCTGCTGCACCTGCCGCTGCACCCGCCGCCGCTCCGACTTCCGCACCCGCGGAGGATGGCGTCCGTGAATACCAGCTCAACCGCACTGAAGCAGCTATGGTGAAGGCTATGACCGTGACTGCTAAGGACACCCGTTGTTTCTCGCAGTTTGATTCCATGGACTTCAACAAAGTTCGCGCTGTCGCTAAGGAGAACGGAGTCACGCCACCGATTGTGATGGTCAAACATCTGGGTTTGGCACTCGACAAGCTCGATTTGAACAAGAAGCTCTCCAAGGACCGCAAATCTCTCCTCTTCGTACTTAAATATACCTATTTAGTCTTTTCATGTACCTGTAACAATATGAAATCGTCACCAAATATGAAAAACCACAGAAGTATTTCTACGAGTTGTTACGTTACTGCTCGAAGTACTATTTCACTCAACATAAGCATATCTTCCAAACAAAGAACTAAAAATCTTTAAAAATGAATCTTCCTTCCACAGCGTACCCAATCTATCTATCTGTGTTCCCAACAGCGTAAATCCGTGGACATTGGTATTGCCGTCGATGTGGGTTCGGGACTGCGAACTTGCGTCATCCGTGACGTTACCAACAAGAGCTATGAAGACATCTCCAACGATGTCAAGGGCTTCGTTGCCGCTGGCAAGAAACTGCGTCCGGAAGACCAAGACCTCACCAACGTGTGCTGGACCGTCACATCCATTTATGCCTCCACCCTAAGCCTAAATAACGTTGATATCTCTACACCAAAAAAGGTTGATAACAAAATAACAAGCATGGCTCTACTTACTACAGGGTATAGCAAGTAGCTCTACTTACTACGACCAGATCTAGACGAACGTCGTGTTTACTAGAGCCTCTCCTTCAATTACTATCACCCCTCTTTGAGTGTCATTCCATCCCCAGATGAATATCCTTATAATATGTGAAAAGGCCAACCTCTTCTTCAGTATCAAATTCCTCGCTCGAATCTGCCCAATATTGAGTGAAGAGGCAAACTTATCTCCTGTCCACATTTATCCCCTGTTATCACATATCACTCCCATCCGCACTTCTCTCTCTCTTCTAATAAAACGGTAAGACCGCCGCGAAGTTCGCTGTCAGCGTCTTGCCCCCAGGAACATCCGGTATTCTCTCTATCGGGCGTATGGCGAAGGACGGCGAATGCTACCTCTCGGCAGCTATGTGCCATGCTACGCTGACCGGCGTCGAGGGAAGCAACATCCTTCACGGAGTCCGCGCTGAATTCGGGGAATAGTTAGGCGTCGAGGGAAGCAACCTCCCTCATCATGTTCTTGTCTCTCATCATCGACTAAGCACTGCTGATGGCTTAGAAGTAAAATGGTAATAATATTCAATATGATCATATATATTATAAGTTCACTTTGATATGCGAAAACTTAATACTACGAAAACAGACTAAAAAAACTTGATATCTCAGGTTAATTCGATTTCGATATATGCGAAAACAGAAACAGATTTCTCAGTACAACCTCTCGTTACAGACTTGATTACATCTTCCGATAGACATTTTTCTTCTACTTACAGAAAACAAGAAATAAGATCATTGCTGACATATTGATAGCTGACACGATAGAATCGCCTCGTGCGAGTAATTAACTAGCCTTGCGGCGCCAGGTGGCATAGATAGTTTGTCCAACTAAAAATTCTTCTCGTGAATGGAGATACTCACACTAGCAGTTAAATACATAGAAGAATTAGTACTAGTAGTTGTCAGACACAGAGGACTCCCACTATGGGTTTGCTTATAAAAGGCATTTCTGATCATGGAAGGATTTCAGGATCTTTTACTTTGAGTCGTTAACAGAAGAGTCTAGCTGCCACAATTGTAGGAGGATCTATTCCGTAAGAAAGCACATTTCTGAATCATTCTAGTCTAAAGTTCAGAAAGGAAAGATTGTGCATGAACATTCTAGACGAAAATCATACATGATGATCTTCATAGTAAAATTAGAGTAGTAGGCATCGTATGATGGTTCAAGTTTATAAGGGTTTTATTCTTAATGAACAGAAAATACAGAACAGGAATGAACAAGACACATTCACGTAGCTTTTTCTTTTACTTATTCGATGTCGTTTAAGTTTGAAAGTTTGATAACAAGTTAGTACAGTAAAAAATTGGCATAATGAAGAAGGTATTGGTCAACAAAGGATAATACGCAACATAGTAAAGATATTGCTATCGATGCTTATCATATTTTTTCATAACTACTGTCTTTCTCAACTCGCTTCGCTCTGAAGAGTTGAGTTTGTGCATATTTTGGTCAACGCAAAAATGTTCGGTCAACGCAAAAATATTTGGTCAACGCAAAAATCAAATCACGCAGAATATTTCAAGTTGCTTCGCGCGCATAACTACATCATAAATGGAGTATACACTTAAAGTGACAACCGCGTGGTGACTGCGGTCATGGTTGGACACCGACCATGGTTTACGAAGCGGCTGCAGTGATTTCTTGAGGTACGACTATCACTCTCGTGTCGTTCAGCACCTGGAATTCCGAAAGCAAAACAAGTGAGATTGAAACAAGAGAGCTTCACCAGCGCTGAAAATTAGAAATCAGACAAAGAATGATAAACCCAAAAGTACTTATAAGTATTAGACTCCCCCAAAATTTATCCTTTCATAGATTCAATTTTCCCGTTTGTCGGAGGTCGATTAGTTTGAAGTCTTCAAATTCACGCAGTAACTCTTGAGTAAGAACAATCACATTTTTACCCAAATTGAGTGTGAAGAGAGAAAAAGTGAGTACTCTACTAGCTGTACTATAAAGAAACCAAAATTTGTTCAAACTGATAAAGCATAGAATATGCCCTCTGGCACTACGGTTCCTGCCACTAGTCGGGCATGTACCTCTCGCCGCAACGATTCCGTGGCACAGCAAGGAACGCACGCCAAGCAGCTTGGGATTGTCGGCGGCTTGGGATTGTCGGTAGGAGGGCAGAATGCTGTTTCTGAATCAAGCCAACAACATAGTCTTATTGAAGAAGCCTCTCCTAGGGATGAAGCTGCGCCGGAACAGAACCAGCAAGGCAGAGAGCAAGGGTGGGTCCAGTGGACGGATAGAGGTAAAATCTACCTCTCCAGACACGAGAAGAACGTATTCGTTCTCGAGGGCACGTCTAACTCCGGGTTCGCGGCTTGTCGATACACAGGTTCAGAAATTAAGGCTTCCCCTTATCCATCTTCTGAAGTATCTTAAACCTGCCCCATAAGGCGAGAGAACCATCGCGATGCAGCTTCGCGTGGATAAGTGTGAGCGCTAATGAAAAAGAGCTCCAACACCAACGAACCGGTAGCTACTCGCTCACGGCGGAACTGAAGTCCGTACCTATCGAAGCCATTATGCTCATGTTCTTGATGCTCATTTCTATCTGTTCTTCTAAAATCCGGACCAATTGATGATGCCATTATGGTAGAAACAGGATTTCGCTTTAAAATGTCATTTTGTATACTAATATCTCTTTTGTCGAGGAACGCAAGAACTTGTATACTTATGTTGATCTGCCCAACACATCATTAGTTTGAAGTTAAACTGTTTGCCAATAGCAGGAGATCGTTTGCCAATATAAAGTGCAACTGCAAGTCCCCGTTCTTTTTTTCTACTGCTTGTGAATTCAGTGAAGTTGCCCTATTAATCTTGGCGGCGATCGCGGGGAGATCTACGTTCTACTCGATGCTTTGGAGGTGTGCGATCTAAGCAGCGGATGCGATTTTGTAGGTATCAAGTTGTCGTTTAGCGGACGCGAACTGCGAGTGGAGGCCAGGCATAAAACGCAGGTCAGAATTATGTCTGGAGATGATAAAACATCTTGAGTACTACCGCATGAAAAATAGGTGGACTTCTAGTAAATCTAGTATTCATCTGTCATGATTATTATCGCATTGAATTCCTACGGTCGTCAAATGTGACGATATCAGGGGCGACACTCATATGGACATCATACTTCGAGTTCTAGATACCACAGTTCTAAGGAAACCTTATTTTCGCTTCCCAATGTGCTGATGTTACGGCACAACAACTACGTCTCACTTCGCGTCGAACTATCACGAACGCGCATTAGCAGTGTAGTTCTCAACGGAGTGACACTGGTGCAAAATCTCGCACTACCCGATGACCCCCAAAGGACAAAGCAGAGTAGCAGAGAGCAGCTACCATCCATCGGCATCGCAACATATGGCAAGTCTCGTGTGTTTCTGCGCAGATTCAAGGTAGACGCGGCGGCGGCAGCAGCTTTATCCAACAATGACCAGCAGCAGAGTAGACAGGTAGCTGAACAAAATCAGGGTGCTCCACAAGGTGGATCAGGTAGCCACTTAACATCGTCGTCTTCAACGTCAACTCCTACTGCGAGAGACACGACGAGCTGCAAAGCCTTAGTTGTAGCGCCACCTTCAGTAGGTGCCCATTGTAGTACCTTAGCGGCTCCCTACGGCGTGTTCCGATCACCAGAACTCAAGGGACCTTCAAGGGCACTTGAAGCACCCATTGGCCCAACGTCGTCGGCTACACCCGTCCTAGAGGAACTCGAGCTCTGCGCGATTATCGAACGCGATCTCCTGCTAAAGCACTGTCCTGCATCAGACGGAGGTGACGCAGCTGGTTTTAGGAATATTCAATTAAAAAAGATGTAATGACTTGGTCTTCTTCGGTTCAAAAACATCAATACTGATGTTTTTCTGCTGGAAGTGAATGTAGGACAGGCACAGACTTCTGAGATGAAAAGGAACCGATCTTTACTACTAGATTTACCGAGTAAACTGTACGAAAACTGTCAGGCACCTACTACCATTAGGACTAGCTAGAATTATTATCATGTTGAAGGGTTATCCATATCTCTAATTATCCGGCATCAAAGGGTGGCGTCGCTTTCGATGATATTGGCGGTCTCGAAAATGCCAAGACTGCCATCAACGAAGCAGTTGTGCTGCCCCTTCTTGTACCAGAGTTTTTTACCGGAATCCGAAAACCGATTCGCGGAGTTTTGCTTTTCGGCGCTCCAGTTAAGATGGTTGATTTTGATTGTTCAATTACCATGATGTAGTATTGACAGTTGGTGTAATGTGTGGATTTTTCGTCTGGCGTAAAAGACAAAGATCATTCTGCAAGGGATTTATACGACCTCCAAGAACCATACAAGAAACATTACAGACTTGAGAAGTCGTACATCACTCAACGAGTGAACCATTAACAAAACGAATGCTGATAATCAGAGAATATCAGGCGTCAAGTTTTTCCTCGCGCTTTTTTTAACAAAATCATTCAGTTGCTAGATTGACTTGGTTGGGCTCTTCAGAAAAGATTACTCCTTTGGGGTAGTTGGTGTATGATTTAGTGGGGAGACCGGCTGTCCGAGTTCCAAATGGCAGGGGTGCTGCCGTTGACTAATGTTGATATTCTTGAAATCAACCGATTCGAAGCTCTAAACCGCGCACAGGAAAAACCATGCTGGCGAAAGCAGTAGCTAGTACAGCGACCCAGTCCGTGGCGTTCTTTAACTGCAGCTGCGCGACGTTGACAAGCAAGTGGAGAGGAGAAAGCGAAAAACTTCTTCGTTATGAATTGTAGTAGTATCATTGATGCAACAGGCATCGTTTCGCGTTCGCCTGTACTACCAGTACTACTTTCCAAAAAAGTCTCTAATATCACGCGCTCTTCGCGATGGCTCGTGCCCGACACCCATCCATTCTCTTCTTTGATGAGGTCGATTCACTACTGTCTCAGCGTGGTGCCTCAGCCGAGCACGAGGCGAGTCGCAGATTCAAAAGTGAGTTTTTGATTATGGCAAGAGCGCAAAGGACCATTCTCAGGTTGATCTTAGTTGCTTCTACCATGTCAAGTACATCAACATCATTATCTCAAGTACCACTACAAAGACAGGAAAATCTACAAAATCAGTAGCACATTAAGACCAACTTGGCCGAGTATCTATGGATACTACTGTTTTTCGCCCGAACCCTTTTGGCCCCAAATAACCATTTTCTTTAAGCCGGACCCCAACTGCATTCTCCTCCCTTTCATCCTTCTCCACATGGATGGCCCCAACTGCATTCTCCTCCCGTTCATCCTTCTCCACATGGATGGCGTCCTCAGCGATTCCCGAGATGAAGATCGGGCACCCCTTGTTCTCTGCACCAGTAACGCACCCTGGGACCTAGACGACGCACTCAAAAGAAGATTAGAGAAAAGAATCTATATTTAGGAAAAAGAAACTTTACTGTATTCTTGTCACTACAAGTTGAACGAATACACTTTATAGTCCTCTTCTTATTACAGAACCAGAAGTTGAACAAACTGAAACTTCATATTCTTTTTCCTCCAGGAGGAGGCACAGGAGAAGGTGATGTTGGAAATTTCCACGTGCTAAAGATGCCTAAAAAGCTTGATCCGATCAATACTCTAATCCTCTCCTCTACCAGAGGAAGCCGCACGGAAATGCATGTTTGAAAAAAACGTACGTGAGGTGGAGGTAGATGACGACTTCGACGCTGCGGAACTAGCAAGGATGAGCGGAGGCTACAGCGGTGCTGATATCAAGTATGGCTCTTCTTAGTAGGTGAAAGTAGATTAGTTCTTTGTCTTTCACTCTGCCTGGTGCAACTCGTAGTTGTAATAATGCATTTCTCGTTCATCTTGAAAGTGGAACATGCTCTCTCTCTCGCATATACAACTTCATCTTTCAAAATTTCTAAGCTAAATCCGTCTGCCGCGAAGCATGTATGGCGCCACTTCGTCGAGGTCTGCTTGGGCTGACAGCTATGCAGATACAGATGATGCGTGCAGAGGGAAAAATCGACAAACCGCAACCAGTGACACAGTTAAGGCTTAATGCCCAAAGTCAATGCCCAAAGTCATCTTTTTCGAAGGAAGCATCTTTCTTCGGCGTGCGCTTTCTGATAAGTGAGTAGGCCAACGCGGCCTATACCACTAAGCCACTAACGCTTTAGTTCAAGGGGAAAATAATTGAAGATGCGCTTCAAGAAGATGAATATGGGTAATTTCTAAAGCAGAAAGACTTCGTAAACGCTCTCATCAACGTCTTACCGAGTGTAGGACAGAGCGATGTCGAAAGGTACGAGGCATGGAGTAGCGAGTTCGGGAGCCGATAGTACGGTGGAATCTTGGAAAGACGAGAGTGGGATATTGGAGATCGAAGAGGGTTTTATAGGATTCTGCCTTTGTGGGTGGAATATTGATATTGCCGATAGGACTCACCGGAGGCGTTGCACAGGGCTCCAGCCTGCCTTCGAAGGTGAGACCTATGGGGCTGACAAGACTACGAAAGCGCCGGCGCTTAGTTAGTTTTTTTAGGTCGATAATCTTTGCTTTATCTAAATTTCCTTTTTTTCCTAGTTAGGTCTGCTCCACCACAAATATTGCCTCTAGGATGGACTACGGATGCCGCTGGAGGAAGTCTGATCTAGACCTCTTTTCATTCTCCGGGCGCATCAAGAAACCAATACTCCTTGTACTACGAAACATGAACATGACACCTAAAAAAGACGATAAATGACACGTTTCCTCTCCTGGTTGTGTTCGAGTGGTGCTGCAATATTCTTAGTTTAATGTTGTAGAATAACTTTCCTGAAAAGTTTGGAGGCTTCATCTGAGAGAAAAACATCCAGCAGTCGACAGTGAGCGAGCACTAGTAATACACTTTAAATTAGGCTACTTGGTACAGAGGTTGACATTACTTGCTATTCAATTGAAACGGCCAAGGTTCGAATTTGAGAACTGTGAAAAAGTGACCCATGAATTGTAGGTGACATGCAAATAGAAATGGATAACGTGCGCAAGCAGTAGAAGTCTATGACCTGAGCTCGTGAACCATTGCACAACGAAAAGATGAGAGCAGCAGCAGCTACAAGTACTTATAGTTTCAATGACGGATCAGTGTAACGATAGAGCAGGACGAGTCGACGATCAACAGCACATCGGAACCGAGCCAGTATTCTCCAACAGCACCTCGGAACCGAGCCAGTATTCTCATCTTTCCGGAACCACTAGAGTCGTCCGCACTACATCCAACATTCTTGAGCACATCACAGCAACTTGAAGAGCTAAGAGGTGAACAACCACAATGATGCCAAGCGCTTCGAGTAGTAGCATCAATCCGATGCTGCTCCTTCTTTGCCCCGGATCAGCTGCGGCTGCCTGCTGTAAAACGATGCTTGTAGTTATGGTGGGCAAAAGTGATTATTCGACATGAAACTATTTCTAGAGATACAACGATGAGCCTGTGGATGTGAAGGACAGTATGAAAACTATTGCGAAGTAGAACTAGTCTTTGCATCTTTACCGCGATGAAGTAGTGGTTTTACTTTGAGTATTCTCATGAGTAATATCACTGTCTCTTACGGCCTTCATAGGCGATGACAACGAGCTTTTGCTGAGGCGACGTGCGGAGAGGCAGGAGCAAGAGGAAAAAATCAAGTGGCGACCAAAACGTCTCTATACGGATGGCAGAACGTACTAGACTCATCAATCTATTGTACTACCTCCGATCAGTATCAGATATAACACGTCTCGAGCGTAACCTTACCTAAGCTTAACCTCAGATTGGATTGGCAGACTCTGAACTACAACATTTACCATGACTTACAACTAGGTACGAGGGCCAGTGGTTAGGCGACTTTAGGCATGGGAGAGGAACAGAACGGAGTGCCTACGGCGATTTCGTATATGAAGGTGATTTCGTGAATGACCGATACGAAGGTCTGGGTGCGATGCGGTGGAGCAATGTTATGGCTCTCAGATCACATTTCGCAATTCGAGTTGTGCCAATGGATTCGAATTTACATCACCATCCTTTATAGCAGGTATCAAATTCGGGAGGAGTGAGAACAAACTACACCTACAACCTAGAATCGAGGATCTTGATCTAGTACTAGTAACCATCTACTTAAGAGAAAGCTCATCATGATCTTCTTCTAATGCAAGTGCAAACTACGTAGGTGACTTTCAAGACAATCAGAAGCATGGCAGAGGACACGAGAAATACGCATCAGGCGACGAGTATAGAGGAACCTTTCGTGCAGGTGTACCACACGGCAAAGGGTGTTTTATTCATCGTGACGGTCAAATTTTCCATGGTCTCTTTAAAGATGGAAAACTAGTTGAGGTGCTATCCCGAGATGAAAACTTAAACTAAAACTAGTCGGATGAATTATCCTTGATAGGTACAAGACTGTAACAAAATTTGTTGGATGTAATCTATTAGATAGACTTACTTGCCCCATCTCCATGTTGGAAGGCTAGCTATGATGAATACTTATCCTTGATAAAAATGCAGGAGGTCGCGATGTACCTGAGATTTTTATTTTATTTTGAAAGAGCATCTTCTACTCTACTATTGACAACGAGCACTTTCTCTCAGCAGAAACAGGAACAACAGCTTGTTCCATGTAGATTACTATTGGAAGAAAATCTTGATGACACAACATCTTGTGCAGTGCTTTCCTGAACAACATCTTGACAAAACAATCAAGTCGCGTCAGCTATCAGGATAGTGTTCGGGCATAGAGTTCGAAAAGAATCATGATCGGGTCAATGCAACCCCCTGAAGTCTCCCAAATAGAAGATTGGAGGCTGCTCTGATGATCTGTTCGTGCTTCAGACTGTGAAAGAAAGTGGTCCTCTCTCCTGTTTGATCACTTTATTGGAGAGGAAAGATGTTGTTCACGCAATTCTTTTCATCCAAGCAACACTTCTACTACTTATCTAAATCTATAATAGAGTATGATTAGTTACCTCTGATTACCTTATGGCTAACTAGCATCCGTTCTGTCACACTCACAACGTTGATGAGCACACTGAGTGGGTATGTCTGAACTAGTTAGCACTTGAGGACTATCCGCCCGTTTGATACAACTCATCAAAAAACGACACTCACTACAACACGGCAGTTATTGTACTAAGATTAGAGAGCATGGGAATTCAAATTTTTTCTGCAACAAACGCAACTTCATCAAGTGTTGAGTGTGTATCTATATGTGATTTTGCCAAAAGTAGTGTTGTTCAAAAGAAAGTCACAACATGCCGATTTTTCGTTCCCTGGCTACTTGAGAGGCGTTGCTGGTCAACGTAAGAAGGCCTGGCGCGTGTCAACTGCAATAGGCTTTTTGTACGGTGCAATATGTAAAAATCGGCTTTGACACCTTGGTCAGCAACAGACCAAGCAGTTGGACCACGTGACGAAGCCTCCTCGTGACGCGAGTATGCAGCCACTTGACTCTCCTGAATATGCGCGTATGCAGTAACTTGACTCTCACCAGATGGCGGCGCAGCTAACCTTGATGGTATGAAGAGACTTGTTGCGGAGTTGAGACGGGAACAACATCGGACTAGCAGGAACGCACACTAAATGACTAGGGCAGATGAATGACTTACGACCGCGAAGGACTTATAGGCAGTTACACGCGGCAAATCCAAAAAGAAGCTGCCAGAAACTGACGACGACCAGGCACTAAGAAGTACGCTTGAATTGACACGCGGCAAGCATCCAACAACAAACCAACAAGATGGTGCCTACAACCGAATACTTAGGCGCTATCAAGAGCTACAACAAGTCAAAGGGCTATGGTTTTCTGGCATGCGAGGAGCTAGCGCAGATGTATCATGGAAGGGACGTTTTTGTACATCAGAGAGTAGTCGAGGACTTCCTACGACGCCACCCAGATCCTACAACAAACCTCTTCCATCTAGCAGGAAAGAATAATGGTGGGAGTGCGGCTCATCATGTTATGAAGAAGTCTACTTTTTGGAGAACGTTGTTTTAACAACCTAACTTCTATTAATCAGTTTTCAAGTCTACAGATGAGTATCAGCTAGACATTTAGGGCACTGCTCACAATACACAACCGAAGTTTTGCGAGGGCTTGATTGATGTGCATGAAAGCGGCACTACGACTTGATTGATGCCCACAGAGGGAAGATACTACTACTAAATACTAAATCTTGAAGATCAAGATACTAAAACAACTATCTTCCACCGATACGACCTATCTACGACCGATACTAAAACAACTATCTTCCACCGATACGACCTGTCTTCCACCGATACTAAAACAACTATCTTCCACACCCTTCTTTCTAATCTTTGCAGTGGCGGAGTCCTTACTGGAGGTTCCGCCGCATCCTCCTCAACGGCTCCGGATAATTTGACTGGAATCCTAGTCCGATTCACTATACAGGAGCAGGGTGGACAGCCTAAGGCATTGGAAATACGAGGAATCGCAAAGGGCAAGTTCCTCATGCAGGAGATGATAATCAGTACTCTTTTAGCACTAGTACATGTCCATATGGCGCTTCCACAGTGAATGAAGCTTCAACTTCGTAAAAGAGCAAACGGGATATATTATTAACTGCTGTATAGCTGCCCAAGACTCCTACGTGGATGAGCCTTGACTTCCATCACCCGCTTTAATACAATATTTAGGTACCCTCACGAGCTACGACCCTCCAGCGGACCTACGAATACCCGGATATTGTACACTGTCAGCAGACATCAAAAACATAGGCACTATGGACCTAGGCGTACCCCAGGAAGAGCTGACGAACCTAGTATCACAGCCGCAGATAGGCGATAGCTTTGTTTTCGACCTTCACAGAATGGCAGAGTTACCACCGCCATATGGAAGCATGGTATTTTTAAGTATCTTCATCTAACACTAAGGTGACTGATATCGGTCCAGAGGTATAAGTAATTGCATCACGACATTGCAATGGGTGTACTAGAGTTTACTCAGAACAGGCTTGTTACGTCATTTTCCTTCATATTTATCAACATCATCGCAATCAGAGTAGTTTATGCCCACTACGACAGGTACCGCGTGACCTAGAACGGCTTGACGTACATACTCGAATTTGCAATTTTATGCATCGAAATGGGAGTCTCGGTAACACTGCTGTCCCGTATTATGCCGAGTTGCGGTCTCTCTTGGGCATTGACGCCAGCCCAAGGCACACAGAAGACGAGGCAAGAGGATCAGTATCAGAGTTAAGGCCTCTAGGCTTGTTCTAAACTACATCTAAGTATCTTAAGTAGATGCGTTCGCGGCAGCCTGCGTATCCGAGTAGCGCTGCAACTTCTTTCCGCCACGCCGTCGCACATAGCGTCCTGGCTGAATCTACAGCAGCCCCAGGATACAAAAAAAATGAAGCGAGACCCCCTGAAATCTGAAATTTATTCCTCTGAGAGAAAGCAATTCCTTAATTATACTCAGAGAAGTAAGAAACAAGGAGAGATCCATGAGTTAAAAACGCGGTGCAACAAGATAGCTGATCACCTCGTGATAGATTTCTTCTCGATGTCGTTTACCCCTAACAGATGCAGTGGTGGACTCGATCGCACCAGACCATCCTACTTCTTATGCGTCTGCGGAGCGGCGGTCTGTCAGTGGAAGTGCCGCCGCAACGCCCAGCCACACCTACGCACAGATAAGCAATGGAGCGATACCCGAACTGTCCAACGAAGCACTAGGCGCTACTATAACCAAAACCTCTAGTGCTGGCTCATTTACGGCTTACCCTAACCTATCTTCATCTTCTAAATCATCTTGGTGCTGTCCCATGACTGAGGGAGAAAAAGTTCCAAGATGACTCGCAACATGGGAGATTTATTGGGTGAGCTCTAACTCATCTAGCCAGATTCCCCGGCAAAGCCGAGTCAATGCAGAGCCGAGATTTTACGGACAAATTGACGCGAATGGGTACCCAGACTCGCAATTTGGGCATGACGTAGAGTACATCAATGACGGAAAGTGGTATCAGGGGTCGCTGAAACAGTACAAGGACGACAAACATTACGGCTTCGCCACCTCTCCCGAACTCGATAAAGAACAACTCTTTGAGACTGGTATCTAATACACTGTAGTCGAGTTGGAATAGGAATTCCAGTCATCATCAGAATTTCGATCTTTTGCTGACCAGCAAGATTGATGGATGATTTTATTGCTCATACATTTCAGGTCAAGTGTCAGCAGTCGTAGATTAGTAGAGCTTCACTCTTCCTCCATATCACCGCTTTCAGGTCGAGACGTCTTTGTGCGTAATTTAGTTGGGTTCAAAGTCGGAGAGACGATCCAATTTCAAGTAGTAGATGTCGATGGAAAGCCACAAGCGGCAAACGTCGATGAAATAGCCGGCGCACGCTATGTGGGAGTGATAAAATCCTTCGATCCCGGGAAAGCATTTGGCTTCATCCGCTGTGAGGAGTTGCAGGATGTACTACTATCTTTGAGATCGTCACCTCTTGTCCTTGTTTTTTAGGGAAAGTATCAACTTGATCTTGAGATGACACCTTGTCCCTCATTTTTAGGGAAAGTATCACCTTGATCTTCCTTTGATTTTTGCAGTCTATTGCTGGCGTAAGCTCAGAGAAGGAACTACCTCACTACTACTACTACTACTACTCATACTACTCCTCCTCCTCCTACTACTACTCGACCCGGGTCGAGGGCGTGAATAGCCGCGCGCGCGTTTTCTCATCTTGGGGCAATCTGCCACGAGATTGCTATTAGCCGGAAACGCCGACGCAACCAGCTGCAAAAAAAGCCATCGCGCCAGTTTCTTACCTTGGCCTCCGCCGAAACCCTGAGCAGCCGGCTTTCTGGCGAGCAGATGCAGGCGCGTAGAAAAGCCAATCAGCGCAGCCGAGAACCGGCTGCACATGATACCCACCCACGTGGGTAGGCTATGACAGAGATGGCGCGGCATATTGCGCGCCTTACGTGGTATAACCAACGGCATCAGTTCAATGGCTTCCCGATATGTTGCGGGCCGTTAAATGTCTCGCCGTTCGTATGTTGCTGGTGTTAGTTGGCACAGAAAAGGACCCGGGGAAGGCGCCGCCATTGAAGGGCGAACGGCTGGCACAACCGAAGGGCAACCAGTCTGAGCCCCCTACGCTGATAGGCGAGCCGGTCGCGAAACTCAGCGAGCCGCCGGGACGAATTCAGCAGAGCCCCCACAAGAGCACGCCCGTCGTTCCAGCCTTGTGCCTTGGGGCAAACGTGTGGAGGAGATTTCTGCGTGGAGTCCAAGGCTCAGCCTGCGATCGCTTTGCAAGCCGCTTGGCCGAGGAGAGGGCATCGCTCTCCACCTGTCCCCCGGCGGCCGCATGCGCGGGACGCGGATGGGGTGAATCTGCACGAGGCGCCGCGCATCTTGCTCCGCCTTGCTGGTGAGGGGGTGCCCGTGTTTGACAACTCTCGCCAGGACGTGGAGGCGCTAGGGAAGCCAGTGCCAGCCTTATGCATGTAGACACAGCACTGCAGGGCAGGACCATGCAAGCAAGCCCGACACTTCAGGGAGTTGCTGCCTTGCTGATTTGCGTCGAGCGTCATGAGCGTGCCAACCGAGAGCCCGAAAACTCTCCTGACAGCTCGGAGGGTGCCTGACCTCATGCGGACGGCATTGCCGGGCGGAGCTATTCACCGGCCACCAGTTTCGTGCTCTCTTGGCAGACACCACTGCGGAGAACCCTAGCGGCCTTGGCGCTGCGGCGTCTTCTTATCGCGTTGACACATTTCAGCGGAATCGCCTACAGCGCCGGAGTGAGCTCCTAGAGCTTGCCAAGCGCAAGCGAATGGAAGACGCGCGCGATCGTGATGCTGAAAAGTTCGCCAAATTCCACAGGGCGAGCGCGGGGGCTGCGGGTCTGCTCGCCGGTGGCGGGCGTGGCACTTTTGCAGCGCTTCGGCGCAGGAGAAGCATGGGCCTCCGCCTCATCGCTGGACGAGGTTAGCAAGGTCGCGGAGATAGGCGCGGGGGCTTGTTCTTCTCTCGCGTATTGCTTAGCTGAGGAAGCAACGACATCAGAAAAGCCATGGCGCTGCCCGTGTACATCCGCGCAGCTTACAACGTGGGCACGAGCTTCCAGCCGCTTCTTTTTCGCTCTGGGCTTGTCTCAGTTTGAGGCGCAGGGCCTCTCCAATGGGGTGGCGAGAGTCGACGGCCATGAGTTGCCCCGCCGGGTCCACAAATCTGCAGCAACAGCATGAAAGAAACCCCAGCGGCAGCTTGACGCGGCTCCAAGTGGAAGCGGCTGCGTCTTTGCGGCTACTACAACTACTACTACCATTACTATACAGGTGCATCCAGGCGACGTCTTCTTGCAGGGAGCCGCGTATCCCGATGCATTTGCGCGAGATTTTCCAGTGGGGTCGGCAGTAGAGTTTTGCCTGTGGATCAACCTGAATAACAAGCCACAAGCTCTACGATTACGACCTCCAAGCGAAAAGCAACGGTTTTTCGGTATTCATTTTCATTTTGATATAGTGATGTTTGATTTGTTTCTTTTCTGTGGGATATAGAAATTGATTTATCATCCGCAGAGAAGAAGGACAGCTATAATGTTCATTGTAGTTTACTAATCCTGCCTCACGAGACTCTTTATTCCACGCATCCAAAACTCAGGTTCGATCAAATCGTTTTCTGAAGCTAAGCAGTATGGCTTTATTGAGAGCAGTGAAGCAGCAAGAAAATATGGAGGCAGTGACGTGTATCTTGCAGGTACGCAGTTTCCTGGTTTTGCTGTGGGGGATCGTGTATCATTCGAAGTTTTACCGAGAAAGGGCAAGGCAACTGCAGAGAACCTGGCTCTCCTCACGGACGCCGGTGAAGGCAATTTTGCAGAAGGGAAGGATGGAGGTAGTTACAAATGCTCCTGATTTCGAAGTAGTTGCGCTTATTCTTCTTAACATGGTTGAGGTTGTGCAGAATTACATCGCAACACTACAATGTTTTTCTTTTTGTTTGTTTATAAAGATCATAATCTTGTTATTTGCCATAGTACTCCCTCTTCTGCCCACCTATCAGACGATCGCAAGCGACATTACGGGAGTATCAAGAGCTGCAATGCCACCAAGGGTTTTGGTTTTATCGATTGCGAACCTCTGAAGAAAAAGTTCAATATGGACACTTTTGTAAATGCGCAACAACTAGTAGGAATGCAAGTTGGAGATCGGGTGTCTTTCGTAGTCTCTTTCAAAGACCTTCAACCGCAGGCGACCCAAGTACGCAGAGACACGGACATTCCTAAAGGAAGAGTCTCCACTCAAAGTAGCCGGAGTACGTCGCAACCAAGCGGTACGACTGCGGATGGCGACGCACCAGGTGGAGGCACGAGTTCCTCACAGCTGAATGGGGATCACAGGCAAGGAGCGACCTCTTCGGGAACGACGCCACGAAACGAGAACTCAACGAATAGTAGAATTAAGGCAATCTACTTTTTAGAAATCTTCTTTGAAAAATGTGATATGTCAGAAGCATGTTAACCCAGCTGGATTTCTGTTGACATTCATTTAGTACAGCTGCTTTATGTCTGATATATTTTTGGACACCACAAATTCACAATTAAGTATCTAACGACCTGTAATAGACTCTGCAAGTTTCTAATCCAAGTACAGCTGAGTTTGGTCTAGTGCCAGATGGTGTAGTGCCAGATGGTGTAGATCCAGCTGCGGCGCCTACAGGAGCTGGTGCTCCAAACTACACGCACTCACAGCAACCACCAAAACGAAGTAGTACATCTTCTTCTTCCGCGTCTAGGTCAGACGGATCTGTGAGCGTTCCAACCGTGCTCAAACGTCCGCAATCTAACGGCGACGAGCCGTTCTCCTTCGCCCCGTCTAGTGCTGCACCAGTGGGGAACTCTGAGACATCACAGCACAATCACAACCAAGTAGTGGCACCTGAACAGTTCGATCACCTTCATGCTGGCGTCGCTGGAGACGGCTCTGCTGCATCATATGGAGTCGGAGGTCATGGTCATGGTCTTGCTCAACAACAGGCTACAGATTTTTTAGGCTCAGTACCAGATGAAGCGCCGTTTTCGGATAGAGGTCCACCCCTAGACGGTAGCGAAGCAGCAGACAAGGCCTTGTACGACCTCTTAGCGAGTAAACTACAAGAAGCAACACTTAATGTTGGAAACGTAGTTGGAGAAGCAGGCCACACGACTAGTAGTAAAACGCCGACGCCGCAGTCGCGAACAAATAACGACACTCCAAAGTTCCAACCAGAGAAGCGAGTTGGGGACCATGAGCTTCCTACGTCTAATGCCGTTTCGGCTTCGAATTCGAGGAGGGTAAGCAATGTCGAGACAGTATTGTCGATAACAAAACAGCAGGAACAAGCGGTTGGAGAACCCGTTCGTGATACAAAAGACCCTTCGCGGAGAGCATCTTCCACGATGTCAAAGAAAAAAAATCCTGTCGACCTTCAGGGGTCCAATACTCCACTGTCAACAACAGGGCCAGAAGATTCCAGTAGTAGAGCGTTGGAGCTTCCAACTCCGACGAAAGATAAAGATGGTGATGCTGGTCTTGACCAGCAGCAAAAACAGGATGAGCTGCAGGTAGATAAAACAACTACGACTGCAGACCAATCACATAAAAGTGCAGATGAAGTAGTCAATAGTAGTTGTACAGTTGATGCCAACAAAAAACATCAAAGAGAGAAATCGCCTACATCAAACGCAGCAGAAGCCGCGTCTCCGTCGAAGGTGGACGAGACCACTACAACCGGTATGGCAAGCAGCCTCACTACGGAAGAACCCAACAATATCACGAGTAAAGAATCTTGGGGTTTGACGATGATAAGCGAGGAGCAGCAAAAGAAGCTGGACAAGAAGCTCTGTCGCCTGTGCGGAAGCCATAACCCTAATTTGACCGAGATCGAAGAGTTTCTGCAACTCGGCGCCTCACCGAACGCAGAAGACGTCTCAGGATTTCGACCACTCATGCTCTGCGCTATGAACATTACACAGGTAGTACTGTAGTCACTAGGTGGTAGATTCTCGTAGCCTCCTTTTGGGATTCACTAGGTAGATTCCCGTAGAACTGTAGTCACCGTAGCCTCCTTTTGGGATTTACTTAGCATCTTCTTTCTGTCTCGGGGGGGTTGCGTTTCAGATTCTCTGTTAATCTTGCCGGTGTGCCTTGTCTTCCGCCTCACATGTGTCAAAATCGGTGATAGGCTCAAACAGTCCAATTCAGGCTTTACTTTTCTCAATCGCGTCACACCACTACAAAATTTAGAAAGTGTTGCTTTTCCTCAAAAATCTCATCAGACTACATGCTGGCAGAAAATTGAGCTGCTACTGGAATATGGAGCTGATTTAGAAACGCCGACGCGGACACATTCCTCCGTTTTGGCATGGCTGAAAGAGAGGATAGGCGATGACTTTTCTTTCCAGGTCTCGAAGCTTCATCATGCCATCACTACTGGTGGAGATCGGCCAAGGGAGGAACACGGATACCTCTTTCAGGACAATAATGAACTGAATGACTAAACCGATTGATGCGGCGTAGAAACACCTCTATCAAGATATGCTGCGCAATGAATGCAGCCGCAGGACGCAAAATGCGCTATGAAACTGACATCCTGCAGCAACTCTGGCGCCGAATTGTATGCACGATTCTTCCTCATAAGTATATCACAGACAACGCATAGTTTCGCTTATGCCCACAGTTCTTGCATCAGATTAGTGTGGGTTGGTCGTCTAGTTTAGCCTATCCTTTTGGGTCGTAAACGAACCCTAAGAGGAAGCTGTCTCGTTCTCACCTCCTTCTAGCTCAGTGTCATAATCATGCCTTCTCTAAAAAAGTTCTGTACTCCATATGTGGCCATACTCTTTTCGATTTTCATCATAGGATGGACATCACCATAACCAAATGGAAAAAGAAAACTGTAATTGTGAGCACCATCACCACTACCTAGTAGTAGTAGTCAGTGTATTGTAAATGCTTCTGCTTCACCAGCATCACCGTTGTACGCGATGAAGGTTATTGGCAAGCAAACTCAGCATCAATTTCGAACTCAACTTGAGCAATTCTACATCTGTAATTTTGAACCTATGCCTAAAAAATGCTCGATATGTCGATGTACTCTCATCTCAGATCATAAAGATTCAATTCTCGTCCAACATTGCTTTGAAGATACTATCACATATTGTCCATTGCCTGCTACTCGATCAGTACAATCACCATCAGACATGTTGTCGTCTTTTATTCGAGGTTGTTGTAGAAAGAAAACTATGTAAAGTTGTGTCAAGAAGTTTCCATGTCGTGATCCCAGACTCATCTTCAGTTATTTTTATTTCACGCTCATCGTGGTTCTTGTGCCGCATACACGAAAGATCCTTGGTAGAAGTGTTGTACTTAATTATGAATGATTCATCTGAACCAAAAAATGTTAATGTTTATTTTTGTCCGCAATACATGCGCATCCACCTTTTAGTCTATCACTTCTATCCGGGTTCAAACCCTGCTTCTGGAGGGCTTTTGTGTTGGCCTGGAGGAGAAATAGCCTATAATCCCCAAAAATGCCAATAATCGACGTGTGTCAACATCGATTGATCCCAGGACCAATAAAAAAAACCGGGATAACCATATCTGTGGATCAACATATCACGTGACCCGTCTTTGTTGTGGTATGGTGGATCTGGGACATCGATCAACACTCAGTCGACGACTTTGATCCAGCCATGTCATTCTTATGTTGGTATGAGTTCTTCTGGATCAAGGAAAATGGGCATCTCATGATCCATCCTTGAATAGCAATTTCGTACACTACATCGTTTTAGGGTCAAGAGACTTCTAAGACACAAACAGAAATGCCTATTTAAATTTTTCTTTGAAGGAGTACACCTGCAGTCTTCTCGCCCATCCACTCAGTTTTCCTAGGGTGATGACCACCTTGAGTTTTTGAGCTAGAGAATGCCTCCTGATCCCTCCTGTAATATTTAATGTTTATTACGCGCTACCGCTCCCAGCCCCTCTATGAATCTCTTTGTTGGTTCCTTCGTAGTTCGTTGTATCCGTCTCCCAGATGATGTCAATAATATTGTAGTTCTGTGAAGAGAATATTGACATACGAGTTATACTTTTGCTTACCTGATGTTTGTAAGTAATCTTCAATTGCTAAGTAAGTAAAGGTTGTCATTCTGACAAGACCACTGATGATCATGGTCCTTCAAAATGAGGCGCTGGGACCTGAAATCGCTGACGTGGCAGCTAGTATGCCTCATTTTCACTCTTCCCAGCCTCCTCTGGTACGAGATTCGACAGGGAGAAGCGTTGTCCCCACACACAACTCGTGCGAAAGAGGAGGTCCTCGATAGCGAGAGTGCTAAAGGCGATGGTGATAAACAAGACGTGGACGAAGTCTCAGATTACGATGACCAAGAGAGTAATTTCGGAACTACCCCATCCTCATGGGGAGGTGGAGGACCTACCTTGCGCAAGCACGACGTGGCAGCGGGAGGACCGTCGTCTTCTACTTCTAGCACCACAAACTCATCGTTTAAGGATACTGAAGGAAGTAGTACAACAGGGGCCAGTCTGCAAGCCGCACTCGTTGAGCGAGACAGCTATAGAACCGCCAATCCCAGTGGCTTTTCTACTTCCGCTGATAGCACATTGGATACTGATCGGCTTCTCCTCGTCGCTCTCGCTGACAGTGGTGAGATCCGCGGTGTGGACCGAAGTAGCGGACAGACAATATTTCGGTATCAGCTAGGTCATTCCCTAGTTGGTGGCTCGACTGCAGAGAGCGAAGATGAGCAGGACCCTCGTCGAGGTGGTCGAAGTAGAGGCGGTTCGTCGCATCATGCTGGATCAGGTCATCACATGGGCAGTAGAAATGGTCCCTACGCTGCAACAGCTGGGTCAACTTCTAGATACTCTCCTTCACCTGGATCGTCAGGTACTAGACAATATCATCGTAGTAGCAACGACAGGCGTACAGGAAGTTCGCCTTCGTACCGTGAAATCCCGAGATTCGCTGTCGACATGGATGGTTCAGTTCTGTACACGAGGGATAGCGTGCAGTTTTTCGCGCTACCGCAATTGAAGATCAAGGACCTCGTGGCGAAAAGCCCAATTACCAGTCTTCCAGGCTTCCCGGGTTTGTATTTTACAGGAAGAAAAACGACACAGTTCCACCATGTGGCACTTCCACCAGCGTCCAAGGATATTGTGCCAGCACCAAAAGTCACAATATTGACTACATCGTCCCAGCCTAGCACCAGCAGTACACCTTCCCAAGTAGAGTCTAGCACTGGTGAAGATGAACAAGCAACTATCACGAGAGCATCCAAAAGAGCCAGTGGACGTACTACAACTACTACAGCACACGCGACGAGTCCTACTAGCGCGTCGCGCTCGTCCAGCGCCAAGGACTATGTCATGGATTTGATCTCTCGTGTAGTGTCATCTACTGGCAAATCGAAGATTCTCGATCCAGACGTAGCAGATGACAACACAGCGACGATTCTCGAAGATCAGACACCTGATACTCGTCTTTTCGACGACGCTCACGGCTCCGAAGAGCACGTCGATTCCGACAGCAGTACAACAACATCTTCAGGTTCCGCAGACATAGTAGACCATGACCAGCACCTGGAAGCACAGGTCATCAAAGACGTAGTACTTCCACGAGATGTTGTAGATGGAGAGATAACTGCAACAACTTCTAGGGCTACTCTCTTTAGGAATAATCCTTTTGAACGAGTGGTCATATTCGGTGAAGCGGAGTACATTCTAGAGGCCATGGATGCGGTGACGCATCAACGCGTATGGCAGGCGCATTACACAGAAATCAGACCTATCGAGCTCGAACAAGTGCACGAACTACCAGAATTTCTGCAGAAACGAGTGCTGCATTCACTGTTGCAGGATAGAAGGATGGTAATTTTACAGCCTTTGAGGATTGCGATTAATAGTTTAAGTTGTATCTTTCAGCTTTGCATAAATATCTCTCTATCTGATGACTCTGCTTCATGGTGTCATGTGTTGAAAACTAGAAAACTTGTCACCTCGACAACTGCTTGTTTCCAATTAAATGAACAGCTCTACGTAAACGACGACACAATCCATGGCGCGCAGAGGGATATCCTTCATTTCGAAGGGAGAATTCACTCAGTTTTGACCCTAGTGCCCACGCTCGGCGCCGCTCTCCAGGCCTTGGCCCCTCTAGGTCCTACGGCTTTGGAAGCCCCGCTTCGAACTCCTGAGGAGGAACTAGAGGAGCGAAGTCGCTGGCACCGCTTCACCGTTGCGACAGTGCGTCACGGTAGTTTGCTAACTGCCGACATTCCGATAGAAGCGCCTCCTGACACGACAGCGGATGGGGCTTTTGTAGGCGATCATGGTACAACGACATCTGGCGGGACTGGAAGAGGTCCTAGTGCGAGCATGTATCTTGAAGGCACAACCGCAGATCAGCTTCACCACTTGCGCGGACCAACGGCGTCGGGCTCGGCGGGCGAGGTTGTCTTAGCACGTGATATTCACAAGCGCACGCGCAATAGCGAAATGCTAGAGCGGGATATTCTACAGCGGCTGTCCTTGAGCGGTGACTCCTTCGAGGAACTAGTGGCGGAAGATCCTTTGTGGCTGTTGACAGCAGGCGAGACCGGAGATCATGCAGGTTTGCTAGGAGATCCCCTTTCAGGCATGACAGGAATGACCCAAGGTGGCGGTGCAATGTTCGGCAGTCCTGCAGGAGGCGCAACAGCTCACTCAGGCTCAAGCGTCGTCCATCACTTTATCTCCACCAATCCTAATGGAGGACCGCCTGGAGGTAAGCAACGTTTTATCGGTACAACTGCAGACGGTTCGGGTCGTGCGCCTGGTCAACAACATTTTACAGGTTTCGCTAGCAGCTTGCTCTTGCCTGGGCCAGTATTTGGCTCTTCAGGACAAGACAGAAGTGTTGAAACTTCTGACGGAAGACTATCGTCGTCCACGACGAGTGGTCCGTCAGTAGCCGACCTCCTTGCAGGGAGGCAAAGAGGGCCAAACGGAGGCACGGGACCCCGCTTTCCTTTCAACGCGTTGTTAACACGCAGAATGCTGCTGAGGCCTCGTAGTCCGCTTGCCGCAGCTCCTCAAGCAGGAGCCTTTGATGACGTTCTTGTCCACCACCAAGCGCCTCCAGGAAACTCTGAAGACGGTGCTTCCTCAACCTCTGGTGGCCGGCAGTCAGACGACGACTACTTTTTTGATGAACGCACAGGTCTTTGGTACCGCGTGTCTCCTCTAGACAGTGATGACGATGATGAGGAAGCCTTGTTTCCTACTCCGCACAAAATCGTGGAGGACGTCAAAGGTTTCGTCTACAACAAGTTGATTCAGCCAATCACAGGTGGAGCTCCCTATACTCCAGCAGAAGCATTGGAGTATCCAGCAGCATTGGAAGGTGGCGGAGCGGGAAACGCACTTCAGCAAGGTGAGGACCAGAGGGAAACTGCAACTGGGAATGCTCCTTTACAGGCATTGCAGGAAATCCGCAGACAGCGTGCCAGAGCTCGCACAGCCCGCCTACTGGCTTACTACTCCAACAATGTCGAAGAATATCTCGGAGACCCCTATAACAACCCCTTTGTCCAATACAACTATCCACCTGGAGGAGCTGCTGTTGGGGATCCTAAGAGTATGTCTCCTCCGATTCAGAGCAAGCTTGCAAGACATCCCTACTACGACGCTGCAACTGGAAGGTACTATCCTCCAGAGGACGATGGCAAAAGACATGCCTACTACGACGCTGCAACTGGAAGGTACTATCCTGGAGACCACGATGTTGACAACGGCTTATTCTCCTTTTTCTACGATGCTTACCGCGGTCGGGGTCTCAATTTCAATCGAGTACGAACAGCCTTGTTATATGGACATCCTGCGTACGTGAATCCTCCTCCACCAGCACGTCGCAGTGGCTTTCGTCGTTACGTGCGGTCCAGCATGCACGAGCCTAACTTTTTCAAAGCGATTTTACTTGCCATGATTTTTGGGATGGTATTTGCAGTTTCGGTCGCAGACTTCTACTTGGGCTACAAACTTCGAAAAAAGCTTCCAGCATTGGTAGCAGTAAAACTTTTGCGGAGATACGTCCGCTGTCTCCAGTGTTCTGAGACGTTGACTCCACCACGCTTTTGCCTCGCCATTTACGTGTGTTTCCTATCCGTGATACTAGTTTTGCCTACAGGTACAAGCGCAAAACTGTTTTTGGCAATAGCGAGTGGTGCTGGCGCGTATTTCTTAGGCTTCCGCATTCCAACAGCAAAATTGGAGAAACTGGCAGATGCTTTAGATTTGTATGCGAGAACAACTACTAGTACTGCAGGTGCTGCAATCACAACTGCTAGTACTACTTTGTCCACTAGAAGGGGTACTGCTGGTCAAGGAGGAACTGGAATAGGTAGAGGAGACGACGATCTGGAAGAGCTGGAAGAAGCTGAAGACGACGATCTCGAAAGAACAAGATCTTTAACAGAAGCAGCTGCGCAGGCAGCTTTGCGCAACGAGGACGAAATAGAAACGATCAGCGGAAAACAAAAGCTCTTACTAGTAGGAAATGATGGACAGGGGCTGCTGAGCGACCAAACAAAAGCGACGTTGTTAAAAAGTACAGGAAATGGAGAAAACGACTCTTCCTCCTCTAGTGAACAGACTAATTCCATCTCGCCCTTACCCTCCACCGCTCCGACACAGCTTGGCTTTCAAGGAGCACAGACTTCGCTTGTGCCGCCAGACAGTCATCTGGGTCTGTCTTTGCAGAACAGTTTCATGTTTCGCCAGTTCGAGGAGGTCACCTATTTAGGCGAAGGCGGATTTGGTGTCGTCTATAAGGCACGAAACAAACTTGATAAGAGTTACGCAGCTTTTAAGGTGAAGAATTACAAACTCACGGCAGACGAGAACATGTCCAAGATAGAGCGGTCGTTTAACGAGGTGAAAACGTTTCTGGCGATGAAGCACAAGCATTTAGTGGATTTCCACATGCACTGGTGTGAGGAAGCACAATTCTTGCCGGACAAGGCGAAGGTAAAACGACAAGAGTTACCAATAGAGCCGGAAGGTGGAGGCTTCGATTCTCATCAGCCTGAGAACGGCGACGGAGGTGAAAAAGAGAAAGAAGACGCTGAGCAAGAAGAAGACGAGGGGTTATTGGAGAGAAGCAAAAGCGTTTCTGGAAGCAGAAGGCCTAAAAACGAAGATCCTGGCGACCGGTCTTTGCGAAACCATCTCTTAGGACTGGACGATGACCCCTCGCCTCTGGAAATCAGCGGCCGAAGCGGACGCCATCGAGCTGACGCGCTAGAGCTGTCCTCTCTACCTAAAAATGATGAAGTAGACAGGGAAATCACTATGTTTTCCATGGAACGCAGTGCCACGTGGCTTCGAAGGAACTCTCCCCAAAACGCCGACCTTCAACAGCCAAACAGCGTAATCATGAAGGTGAACCTCACTACAAGCGACAACGACGACCACGATGAAGAGTTCTTGAACGAGGGTGACAACAAACTTAGCAGCAATAGTCCAATCATGCGTGAAGATGATGTGGAATATAGTGCTGTGAGCCAAAGAGCTGCTAGTACTAGTAGTGGACATGGTGGTGGTCTTGGGGGACATGCCTCAACAAACTTGCTGCATTCACAGCAATCACATACAAACTCGGGTACCTCTGCGTCAAGCGCATGGAATACGCAACAACAGGCCGTAACAGAGGATCCCTCGAACGGGACTACAGGCGCTGAAGGTACCACAGCGGAACATGTAAATAGGCTGATCCTACATCGTGCCGAAAGCGTGAAAAGGAATAGTGAGTATCACTTGGAAACTGGAGAAGCTGGACAGGCAGAACAGGAAGGTGCTGACCCTTTCCGCTCACCTCCTTCAATGCCGGCCGGAGGCGAACATCACAACCCGCAAGAAGGCGTCGATCAGCAAAGAAGCGAAACTATTCAATTCGTCCCATCTGAGCAGCACGGAACTGGAGCTGTTATTGCTGCAGCAGTGCGTCGTTTTGATAGCCTTGACCGGGACAACAACGGAGTGCTACATGACGGTGATAAACCGAAGAAGTTGAATAATGAAAATGACGAGGACGAAGAATCAGGATCGGGGAGCGCTGACGATAGCACGAGCTTAGATCCTCTTGTACGAGTGAAGAGTGCTTACATGGACACACAGGTACTATTTATGACTTCGGTGGAACTGAGAAGTTGATGTTTCTTTTGATTGCCCACCTCGTTATCAAGTTATCTCATGATTTTGCCTATCTGTCTAAGTACTGGAGACTACTTCCACCCTCTCCAAAATCACAGGAACTGCTTCGCAATAAGCTGATCACTCCCGAACAACTTGCACCGCTGTTTGATGTGTGTCTCGTCATGCATATGGAGCTCGTCGAGGGTCCGAATTTACGCGCGTTCCTCACAGACTCGCGTCGTTCACTAGAATGGGGCGTTTTCACATCTATGTTTCAGTTCTGGACCGGCTATGAGGAAGCTGAAGAGGCGGTAAAAAGCCAATCGAGGAAAAGCTCTAGAGCTGCAAGCGAAGAACCATTGCAAGTGAAGCTTGTTAGCAATGAAAGCGACTCCGACTCTGATCACGTGCCAGCACCTGCAAACAACGCACTCCTAGACAACGATGGGATAATAGCCGAAAACAAGAACAAAACACTAGTAGCACCTGCCGGTCAACCTACCACTTCCTCTTCCTCCACCTCAGCGGTGAGCAGCAATAAGTCTAAAAAGAAAGACGACTTCTTATGCCACGACCGAGTAACACCTGGCGTTGTCGATGACAGTCCTTGGTGGGGTGCCGTGGAATTCGAGTGGATGCGCCAACTGATTAAAGGAATGAGAGCCATCCACAAAAAGGGATTCGTTCATCGCGATCTTAAACCGCAAAATTGCTTCTTGGATCTCAGACAAGGTATTTCTTAGGTGGACTAGATGTTTTCATGTCTACATATATGTTGAGCTACTAGAAGGAGCTTTAGTTTATATAGTAGTCGTATTTTTTCACCACTTTTACGAAGCCTTGGTTCCTAGAGTCTGCGACAAACCCTTTTTCATAAGGAAAATCCCATCTTTCACTCCTCCCTCCTACTCGAAAGTACATGAATGCCCCATGAAGCGCGTTGCAGGAAGTAGAGTAGTCTAGTCTTTCAAACCCCTGGAGTGGGTACATACATACATACATACATACATACATACATACATACATACATACATACATACATACATACATACATACATAGGTATCCTCAAGATCGGCGATTTTGGTTTGACTAGTGCGCAGCCTGTTCAGGGTGCACGAGGCAATAGTAACTCGCCTTTCAGTCCCTACTGGGGCACGCCAATGTACATGCCGCCAGAGGGCAATCTTTTGCAGGAATCCACAGACGTGTACGCAGTTGGCCTAATAATGCTGCAGCTGATGTGCCCAAGATTCGTTACACAGGTATCTTTTTTTGGCTTAATAGAGGCACAACTTATACATAGATACGTGGCACTGGCTTAAGGCTTAATAGAGCCATTTGATTTCTTAGATTTCGAAGCTGCTTGTGCTACCTGTAAGAGTGGATGTTTGCAGGATAGTACGTGGCACAACTTATACATAGATACGTGGCACTGGCTTAAGGCTTAATAGAGCCATTTGATTTCTTAGATTTCGAAGCTGCTTGTGCTACCTGTAAGAGTGGATGTTTGCAGGATAGTACGTGGCACAACTTATACATAGATACGTGGCACTGGCTTAATAATTAAAGCCATTTGATTTCTTAGATTTCGAAGCTGCTTGTGCTACCTGTAAGAGTGGATGTTTGCAGGATACGTGGCACAACTTATACATAGATACGTGGCACAACAAATTGAACTTCCCCTACCAAAAATGGCAACTGAAAGTCGCGTCATCTTGGACATCAAACTTGACTCATCTCCCATCCAAAATTGTTCCTCAGATGGAACGCCAACTCCTGATCGACGGCTTCAAGAGCCAGGCAGTCAACGTGGTTCCGGATTTGGAGCAAAGAGTTGACGGAGCTGTGTATGACACCTGGTTCCGTGTGCCTCGAGAGCTGGTACGACGTTGTGGTCAGCACGAACCGAGTCGCCGCATCTCTTCTGAAGAATTGCATAGACAGCTCAAGCAGTTCCGTCTCGGCTTTTCATCTTCTGGTAGAGGGGTTAGTGCAACTATGTCAGACAGAACAACAGTGGCTGAAGCGGCATAGGAAAGCATTGCTGTGGCAAGGAAGCACTAACATTGAATTCGCTTCATGACGTGTTCACACGACAGAAAAGAGAAAATTTATATATAGCGCCTTAAGGTTTTCGTGTTTTCGACTTCAAAAAATGGTTTGCTTATTGATAGCTTTTCGCAGAATCACTTCTATCTAGGTAATCCAGTATCACTAATGTCAATAACTACTGTGGAAAATATCTGTCTAATTTCTGTATCAGAAAAGTGTAGCAATCACTCATACACCCAAACCTAATGACTACGAAACTGTAACTTCTCAGTCCCATCCTCGCCGCGCCGCCCCTCGGAACTCCGTCTGGAAAAATATTTTATGAAGCCTATAGAATCCAGAGAATACTTGCTTCACGCCCATGAAGTCTTTTTTTGTTTCCTTAATTTGTTGACAGTTTCTCACTAACGGTAACAAGCTCTGGCTCACGCTCTCTCACTAAACTCTAACTCAATGTTTTCACGGCTCGTGTAACTTTCACTTAGTGATACAAGAAGGTAACTTAACTTTTCACAATTAGAAGGTCTTAGCTTCAGTGGAAAATCGAATGATCATTTCGCTCTTGGTTCTGGTGCGAAGCAGGGGAATGAAAAACAGCGAAAGCAAGTATCACAACAACGCATGCTCATGTGTGGTAAGGGTGTACTAAATTTTTGACACAAAAAAATGAACCTCCTTTTGAAAAATAAGAACCCCCATGACGCTAATGCGGCTATCCCGGTCCAAGACCATGACCTTCCTTAGATGTCAATGTACACTGTAATGCTAATCAATGTTCTTGAAGATGTTCCAGCTGTCACGGCAGCAACGACAGCCGTGATAACACACACTCCTATTGTCTCTCTGACGTGCGTGTCTTTCACTCTGAGTGTTCTCTTCAAGCGATGACGAGAAGATGCTTCTTGATCATGGTGCTAGAAGCTTAGCTCTCATCTAGGAGACCGGTATCAATCTAGGAGATGCGCGAATGAGCACACCTAGATAAAGAAAACAAAGGTTTCTTCTCTGAATCTCCAAATCCAAAAAAAATCATGTAAGTATGAACTAGAAGCCGATCTTTATCCACTAAAAAAGTCCATTGCAAAGCGTGAAAAGAGATTTGTGGTATAGCAAGGTTTTGCACTAGAAATACATTCGTGGCCAGTACTTTGTGAAAGACTCGAGAGACGGCGAGTGTGGCGGCATTACGAGAAAAGAGGATATCTGTGTAGAAGAGCCGCTGACAACCTGGGTAGAAAAATATGTCTCTGCCATGATTGACAAAGACCCATTCTTGACTTTTTGAGGACGCTGCTGCAGATTTTCGATCAATACTGTATCTGCCTACTTCTACCACCGGTCACGAAAAGTCCACCTTGTCAGCGACTGCAGATCATTGCATGCAGTGCATGCTGCTTAACGAGCGCAAAAACGCGGAGACACACGGGTAACGAGAACCCTTTGAATCCCGGAAAACGCAGATACGGCCAATCAGATTGTAGCAATCCCCTGCCAGAGCGACGGACGTGTACTGGTGGAAACCGAGATTTGCTACTCTCGACCTGAGGCAGACTTTCGAACAAAGTCGGCATCGATTGTAGTACTTAGTCCTCGTAGAACACCAGCGATAAATCAGAGTACGCCTTGTATCGTTGTGTACTTCATCAGGGTTGCTGCACGTCTGGCGGCACGTTTCTGCTCCTAGTGCAATTCTGGCAAACTATGCAGGGCTACGTAGGAACTCCAGAAAAAGAAAAGTACAAGTACAATCCTGCTGACGGGTGTTGATCGACTCAGTAATCCTGCAGCGCTTCAAAAAGCGACTCCACAGCAGGTACTAGACGAACAACAAATCAATACGCCGTCGCAGTAGTGATAGGCTAGTGTACTACCGCTACAGCTTGGCGACGGACACAAACGTGGTTTTGACGCATTTCCTCATCGACTTGATTTTTCGGAATTTTTCCTCGTTGATGCGGTAGAAGGCTCGTGTAAGATTTGGGCGGATTCTTATTCTCCACGGGAAGAAACCCCTTTCAGATTCAGAAGTGGTGGCATCGCGGGCACAAGTAGGGTTTAGGGTTTCTTGAGATATTCATCTGTGTCCAGTAAACAAGCAAAGAGTGTATCGGGTAGTAGAGAAGCGTCCCGTGCGCGCTAGAGTGGTCAAGAGCATTCATACGCAGCAGCAGGTGTAGATCTTCCCTCATCCCAAGAACAGCGTCACGACGACGGTGGCAAAATGCCGAAGGCACAGAGTTTTCTGGCCTTTACGAAAAGGTTTTCAGATTTGAAGAAGAATAGAACACGAGGGCCAGGGGTACAGACCACAGCACGACCAAGGGATGGATCAGGCGCATCGAATCCGAGGCTGACTGTGCTGGTAGAAGACTATGTATAATGATAAGACGACAAAAAGATATCAACTACTAATTACGGGTAAGTAGGTTAAAGGTCTTCTTGTTACCGTTTGTTATGGCTCTCCTAAGGGAGACAGGCATAACAAACGGGATAAACGAACACCAAAAGCCTACCGCTAAACTCAGTACTCTTCAAACAGGCACGTCGTTATTGACTTATATTTTCTGAAGTTCTAGCATCCAGATCCACTTTGTAGTCAAGAACCCTTTAATCCTACTCCTTGTACAACTCATCCAGGTAAGGAAAAGGCCACTGAACAAGAAAGAGCAAGAAGGCAAAGAGAAAGATGTAGTGGCGTGTGAGCAGAACGAGGCGATTGTCAGGGAACCGAAGCTCAAAGTCGACTTGACGAAGTATTGAAACTAGCGCAACTAGTCTAGATCAGTTTCCCTTTTCTATCACACAGGTTCAAGACGAAGAATGAATAGTACGAGATCGTGACGAAACATCTACATTTTCGCGTCAAAAAGACTTCTCTAAAAATCAACACCACCCCAGGTACACAGAAGAGCATCACTTCCTTTTCGACCGCACGTTCGATGAATTTCACACGAACGAGGACCTCTATACCTCTTCGGTCAAGCCGCTAGTCGAAGCTGCATTCAATGGCGCAAGATGTACGTGCTTCGCCTACGGGCAGACAGGTACTCAGACTTACGATACAGGCAACTATTGCGTGATGGCACCATAGATTAAAAACTTCAATACAGTTTGAGTTCATTTTCTTTGGAGTGCGATTGCTAACTATTGCGTGATGGCACCATAGAGTAAAAAAGGCTTCAATACAGTTTGAGTTCATTTTCTTTGGATTTTTGCTAGATTTGGAACTACGACTTTAGAAGCATTCTCTCAATCACAAAAATCAATACAGGTTCAGGGAAGACATATACAATGATGGGACCAGGACAGAGGTCAGTAGACGTGGACGGCAAGAGATTTTACGACGAAGACGGTGCCCGCGCTGAGGATAGTGCGCCAATACCAAAGGGTATAAGGTCATGCTGTTGTAGTTGCATTGGGATTAGATAATCTTTGAAATTCTTGAAAACGACACGATGTAGTGAGTGTGACTTTCTCAAGAAAACAAGTTCGTAAATAGACTAGTCTTGACTAAAAACAGGTATATTCTTGCTCGCAGCAGAGGATTTTTTCGATATGCTCAGAGGGCGAGAGCAAAATCTCGGAGTGATCATATCGTTTTATGAAATCTATTGCGGAAAGCTCTTCGACCTTCTCAACAGGCGGCAACTACTGCATGCTAGAGAAAATGCGAAGAACAAAGTATTCTTCTTATCATTGTTGCTGCTATGTTAATCTCCACCAACAGTAACCCTAACGACCCTAAGACCATCTTCAAAATTTGATCTCGAGCCCCTGTTACAGGTTTGCATCGTCGGATTGACCGAAACGCAAGTATCAAACGTCGAGGAAGTGATGCACGTGATCGAATTTGGGTTGCAAGCGCGCACCACTGGTGTCACAGGAGCAAACATAGACTCATCTCGGTCACACGCCATCCTTCAAATCACCCTAAAAGACATCACCCAAGAAAGCCAGCCAATACACGGGCAAGTCAGCTTCATCGATTTGGCGGGTACAACCTTTAGACATTTGATTAATTGGCGATATTTATTATGATGTGACCTCCATTCTACTAAATGGATGAACCGAGGAAGCCTCAGTGGATTGAAAGTGGCCGAAGTCCAGCAGAACGATCAGGCAACAACAAAGCTTCAGTTCTTCTTGACTTGTTTCACTCCCGATCTCACCCCAAGGTTCCGAGCGCGGCGCAAACACGCTTGACCAGGATAGACAAACCAGGCTCGATGGCGCAGAAATCAACAAAAGTCTTCTAGCGCTGAAGGAATGCATAAGAGCATTAGATCAACAGTTAGAGCACACTCCTTTTCGAGGCAGCAAGCTTACTCAGGTACTCTTTCATAGACAGTAGTGCAGATTGTTTTAATCATATTGTTTAGCTTGGTTGTTTGCTTGTTACAAGACATCCTCGTGGTTAAGTAGATGCATGCTTGCAGACAGGATATTTACTCTTACTAGAGCCGAATTAAATCCTACACCACCCCCAGGTCCTCAAAGATTCATTTGTTGGCGAGTATTGTCGGACGGTTATGATTGCGACTGTCTCACCTACCGCTAGCACCGTGGAACACACATTGAATACCCTGAGATACGCCTATAGGGTGAAGGAGTTGCAAGACCGGTCTTCTATACCGGAAATGCCCAAAAGACACTACAGTCCACCTGCACGATTAGTGGACGATATGAAGGAGCCGGTATTAGACTGATAAGAATATTCTATGTGCCAACTTTCATGATTTCTTTGTACGGATCCCTATACCAGGGGAACTACCTCTAATATCTATCGGCAGCATTTGCAGTCCCACGTTGTAATGTCCATGTTAGAAGAATCAATGAGGTAAACAACAGCAATCTATTGTATTCCATCTTATCAAATAACAGGTCCCCGGAAACAAGGACTCTGGCCCCTCACGGATTCCGGGGTCCGCCAGCACCAGTCGCAGTTACACAGACGACAATCCTAGGGATAGCCGGTCGAGCGCTAGCACAGCTGAAGGGGCCACCTCAGCGTCCTCTAGTAGCTCCTCTAGTTCTGCATCTATTGCGCCAGCACCTCGAGACCTAACAATAGGGGGCTCCTCTTCGTCGCGTATCACCGGAAGCAGCGTGATGAGTGGCTCTTCGTCTAGTTCGTCATCGTCTTCTAGTGCGCTTGCGGATATAGGAGGACCATCTTCAAACTCGACAGGCTCCTCTAGCGCCTCATCCTCTAGTGGCGCAGCTGTTGGTGGTTCTAGCTCCTCTTCGAGCGCAACTCCCACAGCGAGCGGCAGCGGGACAACAAAGCGAAGCGCACGACCGCGCAAGGAGCGGGATAGCCCTAGCCAGAAAACACCAAGGCGAGGCAAGAGCCCCATAAAGAAGTCGTCAACCACATCATCCTCGAGCATGGCAGATAACCCTGCGAGAGCAAGTAGCGCAACGGCACCGGCCGTGAGCACTACTGCCGGAGAGAGCGACGCCACTTCAGGGATGGGCAGAGCCGGATCGCAACCAGACGACCAGTATCCAGAATTGCGCGACCTGGTCAAACGGCATGACCAGCTGATAAGTACTACATTCGCAGCTCTTTTTGAATGCATTTAGATAACCATCAAGAAGCGAGACGGACGCCGGCGCAACTGATGGCCCCATCCGCAGCCCAGCGAAGACGAGGCCAGGCGAAGCACCTCGATGGAGGGCAACCACAACGAGGCCCCGCACGCATCGCCGACCTCTATCGACGACGAAGAAGGGGCGAGCGGTGCGCGAGCGGTTAGCGCCTGGCCCCTCTGGATAGCGGCAAAAGCGGAGGAGGGGGGCGTCCTCGCTAAGGAGGGGGAGCGCAGAATGGTGGCAAAGGTTTGGCCGTCGTTTCTTGTATGCACAAGGACAGGACGCCGATGGCCCGCGTCGCATTGCAGTCAACCCACTGCCATTCGTGGAGCTTCTGCCCAGAAGTGTGCCGGCTACGCGCTGGCCAGCCTTGCACGAGCTTCAAAAGAAGCACGCGCCGGCCCCGGGCGTATTGGAGGCGCGAGACCAAATGGGCCAGCTGGGTGCGCGCGGTGAATTGGGAGCGTGGCAAGGCTTGGGGCGTGGATTCGCCTCGCACCCACGGAAATGGGGCAAGGCGTGGCGTAGATGCTGGCGCTTTTGCGGATATCGCCAGGCTTCGAAGGAGCTGGGGGGCGGTGTTCGTTGTGGACATCTCACGCGACTGCTCGCTGCATGCTTCTCGTGGCGCTTGGGCTTCGTCTGTCTGCGCCGTTGTCACCGATCTGGCGCTCGGTCCTCGGATTGCCCTCGTGATTGAGAACGGGGGCGGCATCGTCTGCGATGCTCGGCGCTTGGTCCAGTGGTCTAGCGTCTGCGCTTGTTCTTTTCAGCAAAAGCATCGACGGGCCGAGCTTGGCCCTTTTCATCCAGCGCGCCATACTCTGCGCCTGTGCATCGTTTAGGCGTGACGCGGCGGCCAAGGGTGGCGCAATATCGTGGAGGCCTTGGCGGTCTCTTCTTCCTTCCTTTTTCTTTTTTGCTGGCTTAGTGCGATGCGACAAACCTTGCTGGAGTGTTAGCGCGTTCGCACTACTCGGCGGGCTGGCTCCACTAGGTGGATCTACGCGCAGCCCCCGCGCTTCCGGATACTCCGGTTACGGATGCCGAAGCGAAAAGCGACAAGCGTGAGAACTTTCGCCATTTCTCCCCAAGACAGCACGCAGACGCTTGCGCCGCGGCAGTTTCGGGCCGGGGAGTATTGTGTGGGGAGTCTGCTCTGGAGGTAGTCCCGCAGCGTTGGGCCCCTTTCATTTTTGCGGCGTGGTGTCAATTGCAAAAGACTCCGCAGCAGCTGGCGGCGCGCAGCTGGCTGGCCTTTTTTTTTCTGGCTTGTGTTGTGTTGGTTATAAATGCCGGCAGTGGCTTCTTGTGATATCCATCGGCGCCACGGGCTTTAGTCGTCTTGCTCATGTGCTTGCTGATGGACCCCGTTTTCTTCTGATACATAGACCCACCCGCGCCGCAGTTCCTTCCCCGCGCCGTCTTCCCCCCCGACCGGCGCATGTTTCAGTCCTCTCTCATCCTCGTCCCTCCTTACTCTCACTCAACATATTTCTCGCCCCTCCACGTCCACACGCTTCATGACAGGTCTCATCTTGCAAGAGGAGGAAGATTTGATTGCGTCGCACAGACAGCACATTGACCAAATGGTCGATCTGGTGAAAGAAGAAATGAAGTATATCAACCACGTTGACCGCCCTGGCTCAGACGTCGACGCCTATGTTGCTGGCCTCGATCATATTCTCAACCTCAAGACGCAGTATGTGCAGGTACAAATACAATTCTTCTATAAATAATCTATAATTAGTCTTTGATGGCATGTCATGAATGATCTTTCGTCTTATCTATCCTTACAAGTATTTCTCCAGGTCTTGTTTCCGTACAATTCATTGAAAGTTTTGTTAGTGAAGATCATTGTAATTCTGACCCTTCACCACCACAATTATGCAGGAAATTCGAGGGAAAGTGAACCGGTTTCAAGAACATCTGCGTGAAGAGGATGTCTTATCCAAAAAATTCCAAGCTCGCAAAATGGAATTGAACCAATCTTCGGCAAGATGAGGCCACGCAAAAACACGAATATAGTAAGAGAACCTGCGTCGCCTGACAGTGCCCAAAGTTGGCACAGCGCTTGTGGTTCATTCGCGCGCAAGTTGTTTATGCGAAACAGACATCAACACGACCACTTTTTTGCCGCTCTGTGTGTACTTAATACTTTTCGACGTAATTTTGGGATGATCATCTCTCGGGACTCATCCGTGGATTTTAGAGTTTCATATATCTCAGAATTGCAATTTTAAATTGGTAAAAGTTTCAGTTAGCGGTTTATGGGAACAACTAGCGCACCAACGCGAAGTTGATGCGGCTACTCCGCTCAGGGTATGGAAAAAGCTATCTTGACCTCAACAACGAAAAATGACTCAAGAAGATTTTGCATGATGTACTTCGTAACGAAAAATAGCAATCCAGCTAAGCAGCACTACTGTTAGTGATTACAAATAGCTCAACCACAATAGCAATAGTACCGGAGAAATTCTATTTCTATCGTCAAATTCAAAGTTTATTGGGGTTTTCGAAATACTACACCTAGTGACTTTTCTACGACACCACAAGATTTTATGATTCCTAAAGTATTTCTCACGTGCGCCATAAAAAGAATGCGCGACCACGACCCGTCAAGCACGCATTGTAGTGCGGTGGATCTGAATGCGAATGGGGTGTCAACTATATCTAGTGACCAGTATAGAACAGAACGCCACGACCAAACTAATGCACACAAGTACTTCGCTGAGGCAAGCGCAAGTCTGAAGTGCCACGCTCAATTTCCGCTACATCAGGATGAAACGCGCTATGTTTTTTCTGTTAGCTATACAGCAGCCCGTCGCATCTGAAAATGGACGCTGCTATGCACGCTACGAAACTGCACGCGAGAGAGTATTTGCGGAGAGAAAAGTGCTACGAGGATATTGGCGATAGTGAGAACACCATTTATACTGCATCATAATCTTCAAAATTCTACGTGACCGAAGTTAGTATCCAGATACTAGATTCGTGTAGCCTCTGTTATCGTTCCTTGCACTACAAACCGTTTAACATCATTACTGATCACATTGCTGAAATGACTATGCAAAAAATGACGGAGAAAACCATCACCATGGCCGCTCACGACTCGTGCTATCCGAGCGTTCGCGCACGGTCGCTCAGCAACTCGTTACAACTAGTGACTAGGAGTTTTGCCCTCTTGACAATTGGAGTATCTACGGTGCTTTATCAGAGGGTCTTCGCAGAGCAGCTCGTCGTCCTAAACGGAGAACATCGCCACTTCTACATCCCACTTGGCACAGTCGCATCGTCAAGTACTCCAACATCAAATGAAGCAGAAGCATTTACTTCTTTGTCAGACATTATGCACACGCCTCTCTACCTCGACCAATTCACCAAATCCGAAGACGTAGTTGTACCAGAAGAGGATCAGGGCCTGAGAAGTCATTTGATCGATAGAAAGCAGCACTGGTGGGAACGAGAGTTAGCGAGGCAGGAGACGCCTCCTCCACCAGGGACAACAGGTCAGCTATGCGCGGCAGAGACTGCGCCGCCGTACCTGTGGAAGTACGAGAAGGAAAGAAACCAATTTAATGTGGAGGATCTGAGGAGGGCTGCTGAAGAGGAACTGGGAGATGACGCAAGGACGAAGTTATGGCGCGGCTTCGGATATCTATCTGTAGGTAGTGCTCCACTCGTTTCTAATTGGAGTTTTTAGTGCAGGGGCTGTTAGTCTACTAAATAAACGACGTACAATCTAGTCCTTTCACCATTATTAACGTTACATGGAGATCCGAGTATTTCCATTTGAACACCGACTAGATTAAGCAGTAGCAATAGACACAGCTTCTACTCGAATTCCTTTCTTCTAATCGTCCAACTTCTTGCTTTCTTACGTGACGAAGCCGCCAAAATTCATGAAACAGGCGCTGCAGCCTTACTACAAAGGGTAGCACAACGTGGAGCTCCAGCGCCATCATCCACTGACATCGAAGCGTGCTTACTCTTGACGAGCCTGGAGAAAATGGTAGATCATGACACAAATGAAGTTGAAGCTGACCCAAAAGTGGGAGCGTTGAGACTCCTAAAGATTGCAACCCGTCTCTGGCGACGCTTCCTTCAGCGCAATCAGTTCTATGCCAACAAATGTCGTCATATCAAGTTAGGAGACCAGTTATCCAAAGATGCCTGGTCGTTTAGACGTGCCGCAAATGAGACATTGTGGAGACTTCACGGGTACTATGAAGAGACACTAGACGAAGACAGTACTAAGGCAGATGAAGGCAGTACTACTAAGACAGGAGATATGAACTACCACTCATCACAACTACCTGATTCCACAAAAAAAGTGAGAATGTGTGGTCTCCCTTGTGCCTACGCGTCTCTTCCTTCGCAGGCTCTAGGTGCCTCGGCAACTTGGGCACGAATGAACAAGAACCTCCTAGAGATGGAGATCCACGACACAGAGCAAATGCAGTGTTTCTCACGCCTACCTCATGTAGAACCCCCCATCTTTGTCTGGCCAGTGATGTTCTCTACAGGAATCGCCTTGAAGGCGCTGCGCGATGACGTTGATGACTTCTTTGGTAAGGTATACAAACCAATGCTATTGCCTGCATATTTGGGCGACGAGGACACAACCGGCGCAGGTCGTAGTGTTGAAAGCGGACAGGAGAGTACGACACAATCTTTAGATGAAAGTCCTAGCAAAACTCCTTTTATGAAGGGTTTCCGAATTGCATTCCTCACTACCATCCTTGACTCTTTTCCTGGCAGAAAAGAGGCCAGGGATCTTCTGAAGAATGTAATTCCGTTGTAGCCTCTAATTCTTTCGATGAAAGTACTAGCAAAACTCCTTTTAGGGAACAACCTGGCCCGCCTATCCGAAGTATCTCCGACTACACATTGGATGCTGCATATGTGCTAACCGACCCAGAAGATCCTCTTAGGATGAGAAAGATCCGCTTTGCGCGTGTAGACCAAGTACAGCATCTGAGCATCGTGAAGCATTTACTACTGCATACACCTAAGAATCATGATCATGAGGGCAATGTACAACAAGTAGCAGAGAGTAAAACTACAAGTGCTAGTGCCGATGCATCTTCTACCAGTGACGCTGGGCAAGGAGTCAATGTAGAACTAGAAAAGCAGGAGCCACCTTACTACGTCCCACATCCGCATTCAGATCGACTTTTGCCGCCTTTCATCAACCAGATCGTTGAATTCGGTGGAGGGACAGGCGAGCTAGTGTCTTTAGTGACAGAAGAAGCTGAATGGCACAAGGAGAAGACTGGAACAAAGACTGGCTTATTTCCACGATACATCATTTATGACACACCGCCGATGACGTTCTTCCAGAAATATTTTCTACGTCTCAGCGGAATACCCGCGCTTCTGGCCTCACATGAGAATAAGAAACTACTCAATACTGGTGCATCGCCAGTAGATGGGAGCGACGTAAGGCGTCACAAAGAGCAAGAAGACGCTACAACTACAACTACTAAGACAAAACTAGACGATGAACTCAACATCTATCTCTTGCCGAGCACAGAGTTTCCACAAGACCTAGATTTATTCCGCCACTACGTGGACAAAAAAGCTCTCGATACAACCCTGTGCTTTGCGTCCTTTTCACTCTCTGAGGCACCGATCCCCACAAGGAAACGCTTTCTCAACGCACTGATACCCAGGTCAAAGAGTCCAGTAGCCACTACTCAGCAAAGTGAGAGTTCCTCAGTGGAAGCATCAACCTTACTACCCTCTAGTTCTGCCAGTACTTTCACCTACGGCGCTTACCTTTTCGTCCTTGGAGACACGTTCGATAGTATGCGATGGGACACGATGATAAATTTGAAACATGAGTTCTTTGATGTCCATGGGTTTGAGACCTGTTCCTGGCGTATGGATAAGCACGGCCGCATTGGAGGAAAAGCACCTATCGCCTACTACTTTGTCGCTGTGCGGAAGGGTGTCTGGCATGAATGGGCAAAAGTACTACAGGGCTTGCTGGGAAATAGTACTACAATAGACTATCTCCCGAGAGAATTGCGTTGTGAAGCCATGATAGGATGCACAGAAAGAACAGTTGTACCGGAATTGTCAACGTGTCGACCACCTTAAGTTATGATTGATGTAAACACGTGATCACAGATGAGAGCCAACTCATCTACGTCGATGATGTAGTCTCAGTCTGAGGACTCAAGGCATCATGAGAAAAGCCTTGCCTGCAACGAGGCCGCGTGTGGACATCCAAGATACTAAAAGAAGAGCACTTGTTGTCCGAAGGAGCTGCGAGTGGATGAGAGCTGTGGAACAGACTGGAGAGAAAGAGAGCGCATAAATCAACTGCTGAGCTTCGGTGCTACAGAATATCTGTGAAGAGCGGTCATCCACAAGTGTATAGTTCAAGTCACAATTAGTAATGTTGCCGTATACTGTGCTAACCTGCAACCGAACCAGCCACTATGCGATTGATTCAGCCTCTTTATTTCCACACAAATATAAGTTGTAGGTTACTAGAGGTTACTAGTGCCTAGTCATTGAAGTTTCGGAAACCCTCTTGCCCCACAAAAATGAAACCAGCGCACGAAGTGTTTTTCCACAAACTTTCTCCACCTAATCCTACAAGTCTTTCGGTAAAAAACAATTGGACGACAGCTGTAGTCTTCAGTAGAAGTATATCAGAAACAGACAGAAGGCTTACCTGCTTACTTAACCCATTTTTACTCCCTATTGCTTACTTAATCGGATTGACAGACACATCATTGTTCACCATTCACAGAAGGTGATACAAAATAGACAATTTATAAGCTAAGCAATACATAGATCAAGCTGAGCAATCAATATGGAGCCGGAGCGAGGTGGTTCGGAATCGGAGGAGGAAATCGAATACCCTGATGAAGCGGATCACCCTCGTAGTTCTACTGGAACAGTAGGAGACTTGAGAGATTATGGCACTGTAGTATGCGACTTGAGAGATTAAGATGATGAGTTGGTCTTCTTTAGCTTAGATTATCACCTCGTGGTAGTGCATTGTAATGATCAGCTTCTGGTACATTGTAGTGATAGCCGGTTTGTAGACCTTCTTTAATTTGGGCAAAAAATGAAATATGTTCCACGAGAAATTACGTCCTATCGAGTGTCTTTTTAGACCATAAGCATATCCTCTAAAGCCCAGTGATGAAACAAAACGTTGGAATGCAGAGGGAGAGGCGCGATCTTGAAGTGGTGCCTCCACCCGCGCAACCACAAAGGAGGAGCTCGCGAAACCATGACTACGATCCCTTATGAAATCATGCATGTAGTTTGGGTTTTCTTGCTCGCTTACAGTAAGCACTGTTGTAGCTCCAGTAATACTAGATGATATTGCAAGTGCTGCAAATCTTGGTATTGGGTACTGTAATTGGTGACATTCTCGTGTAACGAGATTATAGGTGAATATACTTGTTGTTGTTGAACTCACTCTTGATCTGAAAATTTGCAAAGAAATCCAGTTCTTTGTCTTCTTTCATTCTCGACTCCTCGCGAAACTGATGGTGGTGACGGCGATGACGATCTTGAAAGGGAAATGAGGTCAGTTTTGCTTGACGAAACAAGTCCGCCTAAGCCCATACGCCTAGTGGCCGAACAAGAAGCAGTGAGCGATGACGCCCCTCCTGATGACATGCTTGAGGGTGGTACAGATGATGGTCCTGATCAGAGCAATGCGAATGATGCACTATTAAGGCAACCTCTAGTCCATCTCAATAGGGATCCCGCTTACGTATGCAGGGGCTATTTCTGAGACAAAGGGATCCCCACGAGGATGAAATCGGGGTAGCTCTAACACTACCATCTGACGCCGCTCCAACTAGAAAATCAAATGTAACAAGATCAGCAGCACAACTCTCCGCAGCAGGTAACTCCACATCAACTCAGCTTAGGAGGAAAGTAGAAGAAGTTAGGCGTCGCAGCAACTTGCCGAATACTAGCACGACTGGCGATGATGATCATTATGTCGCGAACATCACTGACGAGATTGCGAGGCTCAGGCAACAAGTAGTCCCTCCAGCACACGCCGATCGTGGTACTGTCGGTTTCACGAACCTTGTGACGCATACAGGTATGGGCTTGGGTTCTTAATTGGCTGTAGATGGTGATCAGAAACTCTGTTATAAACGAGAGCTCCATCTTCAATGAGAAGTCATGATAAAGAACGGTGTAGGAACTACGTAGGTCTTTTGTTCCCCCTAGTACTAGTTCTCTCTCCCTTTTTCCCCTCTCATTTCGCCGACTTCAAGTAAAAGTCGCGGCTCAAGACTAAGCGCGAACAATTCGCCTCAATCCAGACGTACAAGGACAGGTCCGGGTGTCAGTCGCGTTGATATGAAGAATGCAGGTAAAGAGAGGGGACAAGGCGGAGACTTATTGTTATGGTGCCAGTGCATACATTTGAATGTGATTGTCCTTCCATGTTGCGCCATTTTCTTCAGCGATTCAACATGCCTAGAAGCTACATGTACATCGATTTGAATCCTCAACAATGTGGTAACAAACACTTTGTTTTAGTACCACACTCTAAGAGCCGATCCAAGATCACAACAAGATACCACAGGAGAAGCAACAAGTGGACAACAAGCAGTCATACTTCCACCCGATTTCTTCCATAAATCATGGCATTTTTTTAACACGGACGATTTTTGCCCTATAGAGCAAGAAAAAGCAGCCCTGGAGGCCATGGAACTGGATAACGAGACGCATATAGAGAGATTGGATAGAGGTACGCGACTTATTGTTGTTCTAGGGATACATCTTTCTAGAGGACGTAGAAATATTTATAGATGCAGAGCTTCGACTTTCAGTGATGATCAGTCAGATTCATCATCGCTGATTTCTCTTCTAGTAGTTGTTGTCACGTGTCAACTTTTTTCTTAACCGCACCGCTTCGCCATTCCAATCTTTGCGTGAGACCCATCGTGTGTGCCATCTATGACGCCCTTAAGGCAGTCTGCACTGAACTTTGTGCGAGATCCATTGTATTGCATTGCATTGTATGGAGTGTCGCAAACCCCACGTCAGAGCATCGACGTTCGTTGCAAGACAAGCGGCCGCCACTAGTGCTAAAAGTTCCACAGCCAGGCGGGGCATCAAAAGGTCCACCGCGCCTTCAGCACAAAATTCCGAGAGGTAGTAGAACTTTGCTGTAGAAGAACTTTGCTTCGCATAGTTCTTTGAGACAACTCGCTAATATGTTAAATCAACAGCTTGGAAGACAAATGCATGAGCATGTGAGCAATAGTATTAGCTGTAAGATATTCTTCACTCTACAATAATAATCTTCATTGCACATCACGTGATAACAGACCCCCTCCTTTCCCATCATCTGATAATTCAGAATCTATCACACCAGGTCACAACTACCATCGCGAGGACGTTGGGGGCTTGCAGGAGATTCGAGAATTGTATCACCAATTCCTCAACGACACGGCTTTCTGTGTCAAGTACAACATCGTCGGCAGCAATCTGCATCCAGGATATCCGGGTTCACTACTCGTACTAGTCGACGCTCCAGAGGAGACCTTTCTGCCAAAATTCTATCCAGAGCATCGAAATGACGAGGCTATGGAGACCTGTCCTGTGACATTCAACCAGCACCCGGTGAACAAAACGTTTTTGGTACTTTTCCATGTTGGCTACTAGTCTAGTCTTAAGTACTTACTTGAAGATGCATTTGAAGATGATGTAATGAATTCTGTGTGTTATGTAGTAGTAGAAGCTACAAATCAACATAAACCAATTTTACGAGAAGAGCACACAAATAGTAAATCACGCAGCATGTCTGAATAGCAAACCCGTTCTCCGTGAACCACAAAACAGCAAATCCACCCGTATTATGAGCCCGATGCCGAATTGCTCGTGCGTTCTTTCACAGACTACGGCAAGAAGCTACCCCCAAGATACATTTGGATGCAGAGACTTTTGAATCTCAAAAAATGCTTGCCGACATCACAGGTAGTATCGTTGTTTTGAGTACAAGTCTTTTTCTTCGCACTCCACTTTGTACCTACTGCAAGTGGATATATCAGTCGTATGAACAGCACCATCAACTTAGCCAATTTGATAGACACCAGTCACCACAGGAGCGAACCGCGAGCGTTGGCAAGGCGGCTCTAAGCATGGCTTTAGCACTTGGACGGCCTGACTGTGAAGATATGTCAGCATCCGAACTACTGCAGCTCTATACCATGTAAGCCTACTAGTTGAACGGGAAACTTAGCTGTGAACAATGTCAATGCATCTTGCTACTACGAAAACAATTATACCAGCTCTTCGAGCAAAGTTCAAGTGGACTATACAAATCTACTGGTTTACGAACTAAAACTTCTGCTGAAATCGAACAAAAATAGACCGCACAAAGTGTGAAAGACGACAATAAATCAGAATGTAACGTTTGAAAAAAATTATACCTTGGTCAAGAAACAGTAGGTCCAGGCGCGCTCTTCTCTCCTTGAAGGGTCCTATGCGTCTGCGACGGTGCTAACGTGCACAGTACCCTTTGGCTTCCGTGCCCGCACTTTCTTGGCATGTCCGCGCTCCTTGACTGTTTCCATCAGGACTAAGACTTTGCAGTCTATGGATAGAGCAACCCAGCACGACCTGCACGAGCCTTGAATTTAGTCTCATGATCACTTACCCAACAAGCGCGCCTACCTCAATACGCTCTACTAGTCGATGAACGAGAAGCGAAACGTGCACGGATGATCAATCGAAACTATTTTAGTCTCAGAAACCACTCCACCAAGAGTCCTCGTCTCTCTCTCGAAACACTAAAAAATTTTCACTAGCTTGGGCGGTTTTAGAATGAGATAGAGAGTTAGAATTGCTGATATTTTTGTTTCACCGAACAACTGCAGGAGCCACCATTTTTTTATGTACTTACTAAGCCGCGCACAAGAATTCTAAGTTTCCACGTGAGCAGTTGCTTCGAAACGTGACGTGAAAAGGTCTATGCACTGAAACTGATACTGATTCGCCATTACAACTATCTTGGAATTCATCTCAATTGCTTCTGACATCCATGTATGTAATATGAGGGGTTTCGTAGAGTACAAATGATGTCCTCTGGCGCTTACGCCATAACTATCGTTGTCAGTAGTGGACGCAGGCTGTGGCTGGGAGTCGTTCTCGCGAGTTGTTCTTGCCATCACGCAGGAATAATCTAAGAGATGATGTCGCATCACAGCACCTCTACGCCAAACGGCACATCTCCTCCTGTGAAGATTCCGGAAGATGTTTCTATAATTACCAAGCTCGTGTGGGATTTCTGCGATCCTGGACCAGGTTTGGTGCCTTCTCAGGTGGAAGCCGCACTCAGATTACCAGTAAGTAAGACCGATTCGTCGACTACAGGTGTTGCCTTAGTACCTTTTCCCAGTGATCGGCACAACCTCCTGTTGCAACCCGGGCATCTACAACAGGGTGCGCCTTTGGATGTCGAGACACACGAAGTGGAGTTTGAACATCCATTACAACAGCAAGTACTCGAAGCAGCGGATTTCGGCTTCCTGTGCCGAGTGCATGTGAAATGCTTGGTGGAAGTACAGCCAGACGAAATAACTGGCACGACAGGAGGAGAAGACCCAGATCATGGGACATCAGGAGAGGGACGATCAGCGAAGCGACACAAAGCCAATAATTTCGGTACTAGTTCTGTTAAGGCTCAGCTTTCAATGGTCATTGGGGTTGGTCACTGGGATCGCAGAGAGGCTCTCCTTAGAAAACAGGGCAAATCACTTGGAGAACAAGTAGAGGGGTAACGGGCCCTTTTCTTTCAGCATCACTGACCATTGAGTGCTGAGCTTTAATTCTGGTTCCTCTTCTACCAAAGCGAAACACAACAACAAGCCCGCTTCGACTAGTTTTCGCTTTACTCTGCCGGAAATTGCGCAATTACTGAGAGCCGAGGTAATAGAAGGGGACGGAGGAACATCCACTCTAGCAGAGCCCACAAGCACAACGAAAAGGCGCTTTGGCGTGCATTTTAACGAATCTTCGACCAGCTCCTCCAGTTCTCGAGTATCATCGAGTAATACACCTAATTTCCACGCTTCTTCGAGGACGTCAACAGGAGAACGCTACAATGTCGGCACAGATCGACGATACAACGTCACTGTCTACAACAAAAGTCCATCTTCAAGTCGCAGTGCCAATACTTCTATGTCAACTCCTACAACAGCCGCCTCAAATATAAGACCAATCCTTCGACACGCAACGGAGGTAGAAGTTGTTCTTCATGTAGGATATTGGGATCGTGGTGCGGTGATGCAGGTCCATCCAGGAGACAGCAACATCGATTGTGCGCCTTTTGGCCAAGTCCTGTCCTCAGGTTGCCACGCTTTTGTCGTGAGTCCCTTCCACCTGCCACTATTGAATTCCCACACCGTACAGCCTCCTCTCCAAGTTCAGGTTCGGACGCCTTTGTGCTATACGGTACTGGGAGCGGGGCAGCGCGAACAGAGTACTGTCGTACGGAATGTCCTTCATTACTGGCGAGAGGAAGCAGAAGCAAATGACGCAACGGCAGCGACACCTGGGACTTTGAAAGGCGTGGGCGAGAACACTTCTGAAGCAAAGGAGGAGGAAAAAACGGGTGAAATCGACCTAACTGAATATTCGAATCTAGATTCTTTTGTCCTGCGCCGAGATCCAGCTGCGAACTTCTATCTCCTTGTGAGCAACGACATCCACGTCGAAGATATGGTCATTACAGGAAAAGCAGGGAACATCAAAGGTTCCTATGCGGCACAACCTTCACTTGTAGAAGATGCTGGTGCCGTTGTGCCAGACGCTCCGATAACGCCTGACACCTCCGACATCAAGCGCCCACCATCAGGAGAAAAATCTACCGAACAAGTGCTCCGAATTAACAGTAGCGGTAGTGATAGCGAAGATGGTGATTTTCTCACGATTCGTTGTGTCTTTCCACGCTGCCTAGTCCAGTTTTGGGCTGGAACGGGTACTCCCGGGATGCTAAGGGATGTCAGTTACATCTTTGATTATCTGTCGGAACTGAGGCAAGGTCGAGACTGGAACTGCTTTCCGAATCGCGAACTTCATCTCGTCTTTCTTCCTCTTTATGGACAGATGCTGCTGTAGAAGTATTTGTGTGGAATTTCTCATCCAAAGGAAGGCTCTTCCAAGTAGGAAAAGCTAGAATAGTGAAATAGGATAATTTTAGGGCATTAGTGAAGTTCTTTTCATCGTTACACTAGAAAACCTATCAATCTAGCCTCTTCTAAGTTCTACCAATGCTACCTGGCGAGGTCTACCTGTCGGACAGCGCAGAACTACCACCTGTGCACGGAGAGAACTTCATTTTTCTCGACTTGGGATTTGTAGGGACACCGTTGCACGCAGAGACGGCCCTGCGCGCATACTGCTTGCAAGCCGTGATCGCTTACTTAAGACATCAAAAAAGAATGATTAAGATGTTCTGTTTATCTTTCATCCATGTAAATTCGTTCGTAGAACATTATTGAGTCAAACGTAGCGTCTACCTACTCCTCTCTGCTGGTATTCAAGTGGCCCACAAACGTTGACTCTACTTAGAAGAAGGGAGATTTTCTCCTACTTTTGATTCTAATCTGTACCTACTTGCGACTTTTCCATCCACACGAGCGCAGCTGGATTGTTACTGGGCTGACAAGCTACATCGCAGACATCATAGAGCAACGGCATATGGGCGACCTGAAAATGGAAGAGCGGATCCTCAATCGAGCGGATATGGTTGCCAAAAATGACCTTACCTCAGACGAACCCTCAAAAACGGTGCTAGCAAAAGCCTCGATATCAATCACAGCCAATCCACATCCACCAACGAAGAGAAAAGCAGCTCTCGCCTTCCACGAAATGTTCAGGACTTATCCAGAAGTCACACTCGCAGATCTACTCTCATTGCTAGAAAGCAGACGCAGTGTATAATTAATAGCGATATTTATATATTTGATAATTGTTCAAGCTATTATAATTAGTGGTTGTAGTTTCTATTTTTTGCTTCAAAGTCGAAGGTCAAGGTAGACGAGTACTTCGCGTCTTGGTCTACTTTTGCAACATTTTATCAGCACTAGTGATTGTTTCTTAGATTTGATTCATCATCAAGCAGATTCTAGTACCACATGAAAGAATGTTGTCCTTTCCACGTCCCCAAATGAACCACACAACCACCACCACCTCAAACACAGCTGACAAGCGACGAGTTATTAGAGGCGTTGACTCGCATGACACAAGGTTGTGAATCTGCAGTTCAGTGCAGCCCTCTAGACTTCATGCAGATGTGGGTGTACGGCGTTTCCCTTCCACGTGTGGACGTTCTCTGGCATAAGGACAACAAGGATCCTGCAACTGGTCGAGTCCGCATTATCGTGCGACAAAGTCCGGGTTACAAAATGATACAAAATGCCGAACCAGGACCATCCTCAGGCAGTGCTCCTGCTTTGCCGAATCTTGAGCATCTTTTATCGCACAAGAATCGCGAGAAACCGTGGTTGCACTTCGTTGGAACATTGACCTTCGAGATTTGTGATGCGAGAGGCGTGCCTATCAAAGTCGTCGCCGCTAGGTTCACCAATGGCAGCCAACAGAGTGATACCATCGAAGCTGTGGTGGAGTGGGAGTTAGGGGTTGATCCAGAACCAGCCTACCTAATCCCGCAACGCCTGTGGACTTTGTGCACACTGAAGATCTACAATTTGCCACTTGAGGGTTGGGCGCGCGCAATGAGTGCTCCAAACTTGAGGATGCAAATGCTATGCGTACGGAGATTTACGGAGCTGCAGGACTACCGTTTGCTGGCGGAGATAGTGACCCGTAAATGGAATGTTGACAACAGTAGAAACACTGCTGCTGCAATTGCTTCTAGTCCACCAAATGGAAATGCAGCTGCAGGTCTCACTGCTCCAGAAGTAACAACGGGTGCAGCTGCTACACCTACAGGCTTGTCCACACCTGGAAGTGCTGGAGCTGCTGTTGCCATCCCAATCAATGCTAACAGCTCTTCGTCTACTGGCACCACCACTGCATTTGTACCGTATTATTATTCCGCAGTTCGGTTTGCTGCGGTTCGTGCTTTGTGCGGTGACAAGCGCATGATGCTCACTCTGCTGACGCTGACTCGCGAGTACCTCTTTCGCCAACATCGCGGACCTACAGGGGTAGACATCAGTTCTTTCCTTATGACGCAGTATCTGTTGAATGAAACGATGAAGCTGTGCTGGAAAAACATCAAAGATATCAAGATGGACTTCGAACAGACTGAAGAATTGCACGCGAAAGTGAGGAATGAAAGTAACATTAATCTTCAAGCAGGACCAGGAGGAGAAAGAGCAAGAGCAGATAGCACAACTTCTACTAGTACTTTTGGTAGTAGCAACCTTAGTAGTACCTCTGCTCTAGCCAAAATGAAGAACAATTCATTATCGGTGATGTTTCTTCGTACTACCCTAGATATTTTAAAGGGCGCGGACAACGGGGACATGAACGCAGAGCTACTTCGAGCCGCTCTTCCAGGTCTAGAAAAGTTACCTTATTTTTGCCCCTCTTTCGACTTCAGGGAGTGGGTCACGCGTCGCATTTTCCATAGACAGGACTGCTTCAAGCCAGGAAGCAATCGCCGGCAGCTCCTGCAACGCGAAGTCTGCAGTCTGAAAATCCTTCCACCATCGTTTTATCGCTCTCTTTTAAGGTTCCGTCTTCAGCCACGTGAGAGCAACCCTATTTTTGCCTCAGAAGCTGGCGAAGGGAGCGACTACTACTATACGGGCCAAGGCAGAAGCTCCTCTCGCCAGTACAACCCTTCCCCCAGTTTCAATACCACCACAAACTTAGACAGACATAACTTCACTGTTTATAATGGTGGCACGACAACTGGCACAACAAACGGCGCTGGAGGCAACCACAACAACGCATCCAACAAGATTGACACGAACAAGAACAACAATGATTTCGCGAACTTCCATCATTTATCTCCCCCTCTCGGATTGGCCTTCGGTCGTGCGATCCGTGCGGAAGCAGTAAAGGTCCTCCGACACAAAAAGGAAGAACCCTATTACCTGAGACAGCTAGAGGAACGAGAGCGACAGCACGCATCAGATGCCTCTCGTAAAAAGCAGACTTCTAAACGACGCAACAAGTCCGAGCAAGCCGGAGGTACTAAGATGATCGCAAACGTTGATATGTTGACACCATCAACAGCTTCCCGGTTAGCAGAAGCCACGGATGGCAAAGCAGTCGGAGCTGATATAGCCGCAATCGTGCGTGATTTGAGCAAAAACTTTGAGGACTTAGAGCTGGAGAAAGTCGAATTGTGCAGGTTCAGCTATTGCTCTAACTCCAAACCAGCAACAACTCCCGGCTTGGTTACAGAGGATGACTACAACCACATTTTTCACCATGATGATGACCACGACGGGAGAAGAAGAGGATGGAGCCAAAATATGAATACCTCTCCTTCCAAGACTTCTAGTGCTCTTGGGCATAAAGTTTACGATCCTCTCAGCTGTGACTTTGAGACGTGGCTCTGTCCTGAAAGCGGCCTCTTCTCCAGACGTGTGCGGGAAGACGCCAAGGCGCTAGGACTTCTGCGAAAATATGCTTTGACTTACAAGCACATTATGTGGGGTGAGACGATCTTCCGCGCCACGACTCTCGTGCGAACTTTCCTCCATGACATCAAGATGGGATTGATCGTTGCTGGAAGGAACTATTCTGCAGCCTACCCACCACTAGAGGACTGGCGCAGACTCGTCTGCAACACACATCAACACACACGTGCTCGAGGAATCCGACCACAAGCATCCAGATACAGATGGTCAGAATACGGTCTAGTACGCGCTGCTCCTGTAGGGGATTGCCAACTGCAGATAACACAAGCGGCGAATGAACGTGCGAAGACCTGGCAGGCTAAAGTCGAAAATATCATCAATCTTATGGCCGGAGCTTCTTTTGAATTTTTCAACCTTGTTTTCGAGACCTTCACGGTAAATGTCTTCTAGACCTTCACTTGAAAACCTATGAGTACTAGTATAGGTTCAAAGCCTGTGAGTACTAGAATAAACGGATCCTAAACTAGATGGCCAAATTCTTGTTAGTCCTAATGCATATACCTTTACCTTTTTCTATCTTTCCTAGGTAGGTTGGCTCCACCACAAAGTGTAGATGACAATTTTCTCAGCATAGTTTAAGTTTTCATTCTATTCCCCCACACCTCTCTTTATCTCGTCGTCCCTCCTTGCTTCTGTCTCTAACAGAAACCTGCGCAATGACTCAGCCTGGAAACATGACATGCAGCATTTTTTGCATGATCCTCGCATTCTGATTCGCACAGCACAGAAAGCGACACACCTGAGGCAGTCATCACATCCGGACATGGTTCAAATTTTATGAGACAGGTCACGTGATGAGCAACAAATCGATCACGAATAGTAATGTCTTCACTACTAGTAAAAGACTAGTTCAAGTTTTATGAAATCATGTAAATATGTCAATGTCAGTCACTAGTACGACAGCCCATTTCTCACCACAAAATCATCATGATTGGAGACAGCTAAAAGCGAAGATGTAGAAACCTTTCTCGGTAGGACTATGTGCAATTTGATGTGGCATCTACCTAATCCTATCTCTAATCTCCGCCGAGGCAAAAGCGATGGAAGCGGCGCGTGAATATGAACAGCTAGTAATCGACCGAGGGAACGAGGTAGAGTGGTTCTCGAATATTTTGCTAAAACTGAAGCCGCAACAGTATGCTTTCACCGAGAAAGAAGAGGCAAATCGAGCTGCAATGACTATCTTCGAGAACGCGATGATGTACAACACTGAGACAAGTCCATACTACCAGTTATGGCACATTCTACATAGATTATGCCTACTATCGAAGATGGTAATTCCGTGTTCCTTCAACCTATTGATCAGGTGATCATGATTTCCTCAAACTAGCTACTATAATAGGAGGCGCATCGTGTCAGGGTTACCTACTGACCAAAATGCTTCCTATGAAAAGTCATAATATCTTCATGCTCGATCATCACAGATTCAACAACTATTCTCACCGTATTCAACTATGTTGCTTGTTTCACAGCTCTAATCAAAGCAGCTGCCCGTTTGAAACAGGAGTTCTTGCGTCTTTACTACGTCGCCTTTCCGACGCAGAAAAGAGGACCACTCCGAATTATAGGAGCCGCAAAAGACGCCTGATCTCTTGGAGTGAAGAGTCATCTTCTGGCTGGGTGGAATCCTATTTAGTATTAGTAGGTACCTAGGAATTCGGCGACATCCGACTGAAGATTACAGTTGGCACATGAGACGCATGATACCACTCGTCCAAGGCTCATAGGAGTGACGAGACGCAAGTGGAGGAACTATTGCAGAGCTCTACTGTTGGAACAGAGCAAGAGGATACTTGCCTGGAACCTGAAACCTGGCTCTAGTAGGGTGAATCTCCTCACTCCGGTCGTGGGCGACCTCGACTTCTATCTCTTCATCATGTCTGATTGTGTGCTCGTGATGCGGTCTCGCTGTGGTCTCGCTTAATGTCTTGTTATGTGCTTGAGAAACACGCCACACGTGAGGCACGTCGCGAAGCCGCGGCCCTCCCTATGATATCTCCTAAGAACCGGTCATGTTGTACCATGAAACGCATAAAAAGTTTATGCCATTTTCTGACTCCTGTCCGTCTCCCTTGTAATACTAATGGAAGTACACATCGCATTCAGATTGCGACTTCCTCGGAGATCTCCTTATCGAGGATGACTTCATACCTTGTTGAGGATCTTGCGGCTCCTTGTTGAGGGTCTTGCGGCTCCATGCCTTGACCATCTTCTTTGTCACTACGAAGTCTTGTTGCATGCTACTTTAAAAGGCTCGTCTCTCCTGTCGTCCCAAGAGTTAGTTCGAATGTACTGCGCAGGGTTGAATGGTAACCATAGGGTTCTTGTGACTTGATCTGCTTCACGCACCGCCTACTACATTCACTCGAGGATCAGAGTTCGGTTCGAAAAAGATCCCTCTCTGTACTGCTCACGACACAGCTCTGCTCTATCATGTGTGAGTCACAAAGATGCCATTCTGTCCTACGCGCATGGCGCCTTTGTCCGTGAGGAATCAAAAATGTATGTTGTTCATCCACAAGAACTGTCTTACTGCGGTCTATGTACATCAACCTAGTTCTTGACCTGCTTCACTCCGAATCCAAAATCAATTTTTTGGTCATTTCCCTCTTGCACCAGCTCCACCTAGGTTCTAGTACTAGTACAGTAAAACTAGTACTACTTCTATCAAAGAAGTTGTGTTCCACATACTTCCAAAAATGCGTACAATAGGTTCCGTAATGTAACTTTTTCACGCACGTCTATTTCGCAGGAGGTGGCAAGTTGATCTTGATCAGTTACTCTCTTGATTTCTTGACCGAAAGCAACGCATTTCCTGATGGTTCATGCGTGATTATGGTTTACAACTAATTCTAAGTAAAATTATACGGAAAAATTGCGACTCATGATGGCTCCTCAACATGTTTGCGCGATTCTCCATGCGACATGATCCTGTCTCACCCTGCAACAGCTTGTTGCGATTAGCCAGCTGCTGTGCTGGTGAAGGTCGAAGCAGCACTTGAACAGCCGCACTTGGAAAGCAGCACTTAAAGAGCAGCACTTGCAACACATCGCTGGCGGATACCATCATCAAGTTGTTGTGACAGGGTCGCGCGCGAACATAGTAATAAGAATAATAATAATAATAATAATTCCATTCGACATCGCAGTCAGGGAGAACATTTACATCCTCTTCGCATTTCTCGATAGATTTGTCACCTCGAGCGACTTGTGTCAGTCGCTACGGGTCTGCCCTGGTAAATGGAGATCATCTCGCGCTGCACCAATCCTGGCACTAACTACGTTTGGAGGTGACACTGGTCGTGTATCGAACGCTGGCTGGGCACCCATAGTATTGCCGTTAGAAGTACACAAGTGATCACGGACTACAAGCTATATTGGGTGAAAAACGACTACAACATCAACAAAGAACTGAAGAGGACCGACTAAGTAATTGATAGATAGTTACCATAGTACTACATCGCATACGCATCGAAACCATGGATCGGCGAAAGAATTCACGACGCGATGACTCCAGGCGGCAAAGACAGCGCTCCCCGCGACAACGCTCGCGAAGGAGAGACAGTCGTTCGCCGAGGAGACGGAACAAGTCCTCCCGTGGTATTTTGATTGATAAACTTTAATTCGTGATGTCGTGGTGAACATGATGTTGGAAATATCTTGTCGAAGCATTAGCTGCTAACATCCAAGTCATTATTTTTTCGAGAACTTATAGTTCATGTTGTAGTGTAACAACGTGACTCTCATCCAAGTTCTCTCTTCTGCATTCAACATCTTCTCTCACTCTCAACTGGCTATCTCAATCCTGATCTATCCAGGACGCCGATCGCGAGACGATCGAAGGGGACGTAGAGGATCTGACACGCGTAGGGGTGATGGGGACCGAAATAATGGTGCCGCAAGTAGTATGATGAGTAAAGCGTCCAATATGAGCGGAGGGCCAGGGGGAAGTATGATGGGTGGCAGTGCATCATCTTCAACTGGTAATAACAACAATAATGGTAATCGAGGAGGTGGCGGAGGTAATAAGAAGAGAGGAGGAAAGAAAAGGGACAAAAAAGGCAACAAGAAGCAGCATCAGCGAGGAAACCCAACGTTCTCAGAAGGCCAGAAACTGACGAAATTCTTCGTCACGAATAACGACTGCGCAAGAATACTTGGGCAAAAGGCGAAGATCATGAAGGAGATTGAGGCGGATTGCGGTGGCGATATCATGGTCCAAAACCGAAAGGACGCAGACAAAACAGGCCAGGAATTCAGGTATTTACCAATCAAATTTTTGCAAGTGCATATGGCTTGTCATAACTTTAGACCCTCCAGTCGTTCTTACCGTTTTTTCCTTACAAAGAACTACAACAGTGACAAGAATCAAAGTACAGTTGACTTTTAGAAGTTATAGCACTACGCACTTACAGTACTACGCACCATACTGATGCAAGAAACTAGTGATAGGCGAGTCCCTTTCTGAACACTGCGTCCGCGGCAAAATGCGGATGAGCTGACGATCTTTTACGCAAACGCATACACCGCCAGGTACATTCAAATCATCGGCCTAGAAGTGCAAATACAGCGAGCTGAGGAAATGTTCCTGCCTTGGGTCGACTACTTTGCAAAAGAGGACGGGTCTGTGGTCAAAGACGTGCGCGGAACAGATAAAGTTATGGTGGTGGGTATTTCTTTCAAATTGTCACTCTATCGTGGCCACACACTCTGCGCGCGCTGCTACCGGCCGAAATACTGCAGCGACCCACTCGAGCCTAGCGGACTCGCGACGCGCTCCCACTGGCCTAAGCGATGGCGCTAAGGCTGCCGAGGCTGAGCCGCCGGCACAAGGTCAAGAGCCGGAGGAGCTGGCGCGGGATCACATGAGGGCGGGCACCACGACCAGCGGGGGCAGACGTCCGCGCACGTCACTGCGGTAGCTCCTAGGCGACAAGAAGGCGAGCACGGAGAAGACTAGCAAGCGCAACCCCTGCGCGACTATGAAAGGCCCCGCGCGACCGCGCGCATCCTCTGCAGGTAGCGACGGCGGAGGAAACCACGCGGCGCACCATCAGCCAGGAGCTGGAGCGCCACCACAAACGCAAACCGCGAGGGAGCACCGGGGCGCTGGCAAGCCCAAAAGGGCGCCACGCTACAGCGCGCAGCGACTGGGCGCGTGGTCTTGCCAGTGTCGCAGAGGATTCGTAGCAAAGTGGTGGGCCTAGTGGATAGCACTAGGGAGAAGCGCGCCGGGCGGCCGCGTCATCTCCTCCCTCGTGCCCGGGGCCCGGGTGTGTGTCGCATCTGCGGGCGGCTTTTGTCTTTGGCTGGTGTGTTGGGTGGGTGTTGCAGGTGCCGCCGGCTATAGAAACCGCCCCGCCAGTCGTAAATTTTTACGCACTTCACGAGACAACAAACCAGGCGCGCGCGATGGCGGCGGCCAGAAGGCGCGCGGCTTCCAGAGAGAGACTGTTTGAAGAGCTCCGCAGCCCCCGCGTGTCGGCTGAGAACGGGAAGCGGAAGGCCGCATGGACAGAGCTTGAGGACCACTGCGCAGGACGTGCCGCGCTCCTCTGGTGTCGCGTAAACGACATGATGGAAGCGCCAGCAGGCGCGGCGCCATGGTCTGGATGAAAGTGAAAAGCCCCGGCGTGCGCTACTGTGGACCGGCTTACAGTTTCCGCGTTTCTTTTACTTGATTCTTCGCGGATTTTCAGAGGAGGGCGCCCCCCGTAGCGGGTGGGCCCCCCCCGGATAAGGACAAGGCACGCGCCGCCTCGGGGCGGCCCCTTGTTTTCCGTCTCGGCTTGCCGCCGCCCCCTGGGCGTGTCCCTTTCGCTCTGGACGGGCGCGCCCCTCCTTGCTCTGTGGAGCTACTTGGCCCACGCCATCTGCTGAAACTCGCGAGGGCTCCACTGAGGGGGCACGAATCTGTCGACATGATGGCTGCTAAGCTTCTCAAGCTAGTGCCCCTATGGAGCCCTTGCCAGTCTGAATGGACTACCTAGCACTGTGTGTCTGGTAGTGCAATCGTGGCAAGCTAAGGATGGAGCACCATCATCAAAGGTCTGACGTCTTCGGCTATCGTCGTTGCATGCTGTTTCGTGGGGATTTCATGGGCTTGCAAGTCTTTCATCTTCAAGCATTCGCACGCTGGCGCTTCTGGTTGAAGTGGTGCGCCATGCCATTGAGCCAGATCATTTGCTTCCCATTGATGCAGAAGGATCCCTTTGGTTGCTTCAGATCCTGAACACTCGACTAACCTCCTAGGATCTCACCCCCTGAAGTGACGCCAGAGAGTAAGAGCAAGGGGTCGCGGGATCGTGTGAACGCTCTGACTCAGTCGGCCTGAAGTCCCCCCCTTTTTTTTATCTCACTCTCTAGAATCGCACTACCCTTGTAAGCATCAGGCTGCATAACTTGTGCCAGCTCTAATCTACCTCTTGGAAGGCCCCAAAATGCCGCGGGCAACGGCGATAGTGACGCACCCCGGCGAATACGACTCTTCTTGGAAATCAAAAACGAAGAAATAGGTCGAATAGTTGGAAAGCGAGGCACGCTCATCAGGGAAATGGAAGTACTGCACCTGATCCATGATCTCTCAGATTATTTTTTGTTCGACTACTCTTACTTCAAGAACTATAGGGGTAGTAGTTTTATAATCGTTTATTTTTTTTGTAGTATTCAATCAGATCTCCATATCTGTTATTCATATCAAAGACAACCAATTGCGAACTAACCCCTCAAAAACTACGGATACAACCAATACTATTGTTTACTAAAAATAAGCACTACAAGTACTACTACTCTCACCTACTACAGGAGGACACGCAGACCAAGATAGAGATCGATAAGTCGGCGAATGTAGTAGAGATTAGTGGCGACTCGAAAGAAGCCTGCGAACAGGCACAAAACTCGATACTCCACGAAGTCTCGTGGTGTCGAAATCGAGACACCGGTGAGGTCCTCAAGCGGGACAGCTATCCAGGTAGAGGTGGAGAGCAAACAAGGTAAATATTTCGTTACTATTTGCGAATTTTGACGCACACGCGACTACCTATGACAATTTCGTGAAGTTTAAGCATCCAATTTGCTCTTGAGAAGTCAAAGCCTGCTCAGCAGGTCTAGTACTGTGTGCAAACTTCTATACAGGTACAACGACGACCCGGTAGTTTTATTGATTCTCGACAAGGAAGCGGGTCGCGTCATCGGACGTGGTGGCGAAATCATTCGCGAGATTATGGATCGATCTGGCGCAGATGTTAGGGTTGAAAAGTCTGAAGCAATATGTGGCGACAACGATGTATACCAGATACCCAACGAACGCCGGGTTGAGGTACTACCTATACGCTTCTCGAAACCCTACTAGCCGTTGTTTCCTCATCTTCTATCACCTTCACTATTTTTGAGACCTCTCAGTATAACTTCCAACAATAAATTCTCCTATCACCCTTATTAACTTTATAAGGTCTTCGGCCGCAATCAGAGGATGAAGGAATATGCTAAAGAGCTAATTTTGGCAGAAATTGGCTTCGCCAAGGATGAATTTGGAAATATCATCAAAGACGACCCAGAGTTTGAAGATCGGGAGAGAAAACGCAAGGGGCTTTCGAAGTTATGATTACAGAGAAATAGGACTAAGTGACTCATGATCTTATCAACAGATTAAAGCTCCTCATGATGTTCGTCTTTTAAAGTGAGAATGAAGAGATTTCATTGCTTGATGTTGGTACAGACTCATCGAGCTACTACAGACGCCATAAGGCTGATTATCACCAGCAAATTAACTCAATTTCTAACTCTCGGTCTCGGGAAACGCATGCCAAGTATTGGTGCATGGGTTTGCGGCTACTGCGCAGGTGACCATAGATCAAAGGACTGCCCAGCCCACATGCAGAACCAGACTACGCTTCAAATGCTGCAGCTCCTCGGCTTCAATATGCTCCCCAGCCCAATACCTTCCATGAAAAACACTGGCATGTACAAACCAATGTTTTTGATGTCCTTGTTTTGATGCTCTTCCTAGCTGACGGCGTCATGAAATAGAACACTAGTATGTGTATGTAGTACAAGTGATCTACGTCTTAATCTTGTTACTGACGTAAGTAACTTACACATTTCCACGCCACCATGAGTACTGTCGATTCCCTACTAAAACCAGGCTCGCACCACCAGGAAATCAGAGTACGCCAGCGGCACTCTTAGGTCCCGGCATGCCTGGATTTATTGCCCCCTTGCCACCCGGTCTCTACGACGCTCCGCCATCGACAATTATCAACGCTTACCCCGCAGTTAACCCTCAATGTACTGACTACTAACTCACTTACTCCTTGTACTTGCTTATACACTGTGATGATGCAGCCGCTTACAACTCGCACCTTCTTCTGCGAAGATGTCTGATGTAAGTCTGCTAGCGCCATTTTTGTCTGAGAACAGGGCTCGCAGAAGCAGAGGAAGTTCAATTCTCTCACAAACATCAAATGAACCTCTCAGTTATGCATACTGGTCTATCCGATGACGATGGGGCTAAAAGATACGAGGAAAGTAGCGACGACTCCAGTGACGACTCCAGTGATGTTATGCTAGAACACAACCTAGTGGAAGTACAGTGGTAGAAAGTCGTGGTAGACAAGACTTCTAAGTATGCAGTTACAATAGCTCCCTATTCTTTCAGCTAAGAGCCAGCTGATCTCCCTATTCCCCTTTCAGCTCTGGTACAGACAAGATGATCTCCCTAGTCCTCTCAGCTCAAAACGTTGATTTTTGTTGATTTTCCATCCTCTAATGGTCGATCGGATAGTGACGATTCCGATAGTTCAGATAGCTCAGATGACGAAAAGGGAGGCGGTATTGACGAAAATGACTTGTAAAAGTCGCTCGAGCTGGAGGAGAACGAAAATAGTCGTGTAGTCATCGCGCTGAGGGGCGGTCGTTTGTCGAGCAGAAATGTGAATGATGACGCAACATGGATACATGATGAACGCCAAAATGTCGACCAGATATTAATCTTGCTACTCTCTCAGGAGGTATCCTCCCCAAAATCTAAATCCCGAATAATGTGACGTCCTGGTTAGATAAAGAGCCCTCGTCTCAGTTCTACTTTCCAAGTATCTCGTCTAAAGATGCCTTGGCCACACAAAGAGCGGCCCTAGTGGTCTCAGCGCTCTCGTTCCCAGTTTTCAGTGGAAAGTCTAGACACTTTTTTTGAATCAGATCAGTGAAGACCTGAGGATGCTCCAGTCATGAATGAGGATGAATGCTTCTTAAAAGGAACAGGAGAGAATAGCGGAAGTCCAAGCCGAAAAAAGCGTTGATGAATCACAGTGACATGATGAGGTGTAAGATCTAATATCACTGCTTACCATGCGGCTACAAATCAGAAAAGGGCTGTGACCTCTCAAGCCTGTCAACCCTCAACCCTGTGCAGCTCTTAAAAGTACTCAATCAAGGTCAATCTTCAATACTCGGCCATCTTCAATGACTTGAATACTCGTTCGTGTTCAGTCCTCGCTCAGTACTTGATGCTGCTGCCCATAGCTCTCCCAAAATCTTCTTTCTTCATAGTCATCACCAACTCAATATGCTCTCTACACAACTACGCCATCACAACCTGCTTGCTGCTCCTAGAAGTATCTTCCGCAAATCAGTTCTTTCGCCTCTCCTGTTTTTGTGGCAGTTATTCTTCTTGATGCTCATGCTCCTGCTTATGCAGCCCATATGCAGTTATCCTTGTGTAGCCATTTTCAAGGCGGCCTAAGTCCAAACCTATGGTGGAGTTACTTTTCACAGAGCCTTGAGTCCCCTTCTCGCGAAGCGAGTATCCATAAGCTTCAGCTTCCTTTTGCTTCTTTAGTACTTCCAAATCTTTCCCCCACTCCTCGAAGATCTTTCTACGCTTCCATGATGAGTCGATTGTGAAATTCTTACCTACTTTAGCTGAAAGTAGGTGACGAATAAAAGCTTTGGAGACCTTCTGACGTGCGAAATGACACCAACAAATATGTTACACCTTTGAAAATCCTAGGGTACACTGTGGGTGAATTTCCTCCACCAGTATTGCTTCATATGTTATTGTTAAGTGAACATTATCTCTTCAGGCCCTAAGGTTGGGACCGCTCAGCGGCAACTGTTCCTGAGGTCGTGGCTGTTCCTCAGACGCAGCCTGTTCCTGTTCCTCAGATAGAGATAGGGGCGACGCCTTCTGCGCGGGCGAACTTTCTACCCACTACAGTGCCTTTCTACCCACTACAGTGCCTTTCTACCTTCTCCAGCGCCTTTCTACCCACTACAGTGCCTTTCTACCTTCTCCAGCCTCGCTACCTTCTACCGCCTCATGGCCTATGCTCGTCTACCGCCTCACGACCTATGCCCATCTCCAGCCTCATCCCCTAAGCCCGCCTACAGCCTCATGACCTATGTTCTTCAGCCGCCTCTTTGGTCTGGGCTGCCTCCCATCGATCATGACCTATGTTCTTCAGCCGCCTCTTTGGTCTGGGCTGCCTCCCATCGATCATGACCTATGTTCTTCAGCCGCCTCTTTGGTCTGGGCTGCCTCCCATCGATCATGACCTATGTTCTTCAGCCGCCTCTTTGGTCTAGGCTGCCTCCCATCCATCATGACCTATGCTATTCAGCCGCCTCTTTGGTCTAGGCTGCCTCCCATCCGTCATGACCTATGTTCTTCAGCCGCCTCTTTGGTCTGGGCTGCCTCCCATCCATCATGACCTATGCTCTTCAGCCGCCTCTTTGGTCTGGGCTGCCTCCAGTCCATCATGACCTATGTTCTTCAGCCGCCTCTTTGGTCTGGGCTGCCTCCCATCGATCATGACCTATGCTCTTCAGCCGCCTCTTTGGTCTAGGCTGCCTCCCATCCATCATGACCTATGCTCTTCGCCTCTTTGGCCTGGGCTGCCTCCCATCCATCTGTCACTCCGCTCGCTTGCTAGCACCACTTTGGCCTCTTTCCCAAGTCCGAACCTCTATTGCCATGCTTGCCTCTTTCCTTGCCTAGATCAACGCTCACTTATAGTTGCCTTGTGAGATCGCTTGCCTCCTTGTTGCGTGCTGCGGCCCACCACCTTCGACAGGGCTAACTTCTTGTAGATGCCGACGTGCTCACTTCTTGCTTGCCTTGGGATGCGGTCGCCGCCTCTGCGACGAGCAGTGTAAAATTGCCACCTCCGACAGGAAGTATAAGACTTCCATCCTACCCTAGTGGCCGAGCATCAGTCACGCACGCCCTATTTTAGGTCTCAAAACATTATGTCGCCAAGGGTGCTCAAAATTGAGACTTGAGATCCCGACGTCTTGCAGCCCGTGCTTCCAAGTGATACCAGCACCAATGGCGTAGTGGTAGCATCCCAGCTTGCCATGATGATGAATTATGCGAAGAAGTTCCTGCAGCAACAGCATTCGCATTCACCTCTAAAAAAGCTGCCTGTGACTTTTCCTCAAGTTTTGCATCGAGAGCAACTTTACGTCGCTGCGCGTCATCCACTTTGTTCTGTAGCGTTGTCAACTTTTTTTAGCGAGTAGAGATTTTATGGAGAAAAGTTCGATTCCCGTGTCATGCTTTCGCGCACATTCACGTGTACCTAGCAGTACCACTACTGCTTTCTCGTAGCCCATGCCTCTGTGGCCTGATGTAGGTTCAAAGCCGCAGCATTATTTAGGTGTGGAGACCCTCATGCACGACGTTGTGCAGAGAGATCGATAAGACGCTTGCCTGAAGAAGGCCCCGCCCCGATCCCCACGCGCGTGATTGCTCTGCGTGATGCGCTAGCAAAAAGCGAAGAAAACTCCTAGGTTGGAGAAGAAGGTTCCCAGCGTGCATTATTGTCGCTCACATCCTCGCCTTGCATTCGCAGAGTCATTCGCAGCAAAGGTAGGATAATTCCTGCGGGCTTTCATCACCGGACATAGCTCAGTTGGTAGAGCGTTCGACCGTAGAATTCGCAGAAATCGAATGGTCCCTGGTTCGATTCCGGGTGTCCGGATTTTTGAAACTGCAGGACAAGGGTGGCTAGTGCAGCTCGGCAAAGACATGCGCGCCGTTACTCATGACCAACACCTGCTTGCATCGCGCTTCGCACTGCAAGCTGGCAACGAGCCAACGAAGTCCGAGCTGGGCCCTCATTTCGTGCCGGCGCTAAGCGCGGAACTGACAGGCCGACTTCGTCGAAATGTCTTTCGATCTCTTGGCCACTGGGTCGCAATAGGTCCCGCGCTTAGCATGGGAAATGTGCCGGGATCGGTGCCCAGGCTTCACATACCGCACGGACATTTGTCCAGCGACTCTTCGGTACGACAGAGGCCCCCATAGTGTAACGGCTTGCACTCTGGCCTCTGAACCCAGCGATGGCGGTTCACATCTGCCTGGGAGGTCTTTTCGTGCTTCGGTGTGCAGCACCCTTTTTGCTTCGCCTGCGCGCTCTTTCTGCTCCTTGCGAGACAGTGGTACGATTCGAGGCTGCTGAATGTCTTGGGCCCAATCCCCGCCAACGCCCACCGCTATTGTCTTTATGGGTTGCGCACTCTCAATAGAGTTGAATAGTCTACAATGTGCACATCGAGGACGCAACGACACTGTGTCCGAGTGGTAAAGGAGGTGGACTCGAAATCCACTGGGCTCTGCCCGCGAGGGTTCGAATCCCTTCGGTGTCGCTTCTTTGGCGCCAGTGTTGCCTCTCCCCACGAATTTCCGTGAACCGACCTTTTCCACTGATATATCTAAATCAATGGCAGGATGGCCGAGCGGTCTAAGGCGCTAGCTTAAGGCGCTAGTCCGAAAGGGCGTGGGTTCGAACCCCACTCCTGTCAAATATATTTTCCTTCTGCTGTGCGAAACCGCACGTAGGCAATAACCTCCGCGACCGGGAATCGAACCCGGGTCATCCGCGTGACAGGCGGATATACTAACCACTATACTCCCCTGGAGTGTTCGGACGGCTGCCGCCCGAGCAATTAGAAAGAAAGAAAGAAAGAAGGGTGAGGGGGAGCGGGCAGGCTCGCAAGTAAGCGGAGCCTGCGGGAAAGGACTCCACTAAGGCGAGGAGGGAGGGAGCGGAACCGCAGGAGAGTAGAAAGCAAAGCTGCGAAACGAAAAAGATATATTTTTGGGAGGGGAAAAGGAGCAGCGGGACAGGTAAACAGGCACGGCAGAATCACCTCAGTGGTTTAGGTGCAACACCCTTCCCCCTGCGGACAAGTCGCGGAAGATTCGAATCCCAGTAGATGCAATACTGCCCAACACAGTGTTTTAATGGAGGGGGTCTAGAGGAGTGGGCGGCGAACGTCAGGGCAAGATGTGGAGAAGCAAGAAGCAAATAACTGGTGGCGCGACTTAGTGAAGCCCAATCGGCACTCTCATGAGACAGAAAATAGCTAACAGTTGGCAGCTCTGGGCGGAGGAAGTAGCGCAGAGGTGGTAGAGATGAGGGGAGTAGGCACTTGCGGACCGTGGAGCATCCAAGAGGATCCTGAAAAGCAGGGAAAACAAGGCCAGTCCTGCCGTAGTGGTTAAGGCCCAGCACTTGCCGCCACATAGTCTTTCCATGGGAGGTTCGAATCCTGGAGAGCGGGGTGCCGTACCAGTGCACGAACTGCATCAGGGCACTTTTCAACGCCCCATTACTAGGTAGTTACCCGCAGCGATTTTTCTGGAACAAATATCGTCCTTTTCTGAAAGTGGTAAAAATAGGAGAAAAATGAACTGGGAAAGTGTAGCAGATACACAAATCAAGGCAACCAGGCGGACTTTGAGAGTAAGTCAGCAGGAAAGCTCGTCTTGCCCTCAAAATCTCCGCGACCGGGAATCGGACCCGGGTCATCCGCGTGACAGGCGGATATACTGACCACAATACTATCGCGGAATCCTAACTGGGGAGGAGGGTTGCCACCCTGCTTGGATGCTGAGGAAAGTTGCCAGGCCACCTCTCTACTATTCGGAACGCCAAGCGGTTCCGTGTTGGCTGAGTTTAGCGCCGTTTCACCTCTCCGGTGCTATCAGGGTATTCGAAAAATCGGGCACTTCCGTGGTGGCTCATTTTAACGCCGTCCCAAGGCGCCACTTCTATTGAGGTTGAAAAGGGTTGCCGGGCTACCCCTCTACCAATTGGAAAATGGGGCGATTCCGTGGAGGCGGAGTTTAACGCCGTTCCAAGGCGCCAGTGCTGCGACCAAGGCTGGTGAGAGTTGCCAGGCGACCCCTCTATTATTCGGAAAAAAGTGGTAAAAATAGGAGAAAAATGAACTGGGAAAGTGTAGCAGACATACAAATCACGGCAACCGGGCGGACTTTGAGAGAAAGTCAGCAGAAGAGATCGTCTTGCCCTCAAAATCTCCGCGACCGGGAATCGAACCCGGGTCATCCGCGTGACCGGCGGATATACTGACCAGAACTATCGCGGAATCGTAACTGTAGAGGAGAGTTGCCACCCTAATTGGATGTTGAGGACAGTTGCCAGGCTACCCCTTTATTATTCGGAACGCCAAGCAGTTCTGTGCTGGCTGAGTTTAACGCCGTTTCACGTCGCCGGTGCCATCAAGGTATGCGGAAAATCGGGCACTTCCGTGGTGGTTCATTTTAACGCCGTCCCAAGGCGCCACTGCTATTGAGGTTGAAAAGGGTTGTCAGGCTACCCCTCTACCATTTGGAAAATG